GGGACACACTCGCAGGGCTATTCTCCGCCACATATGATGTACAAAAAAACTTTTCAAAGAAGACGAGAACCACCCTGGGACTTCACCAGTGGTTGAAATGGAAGTCATGGAAGTGTCGAAAAATCCCGAATAAAATGTTAAAATTCTGCCAGAGATTATCTTCTGACGACAAAAAGTAAATACACACCAAACTGTGCTCGAAATAAGGAAACTTCAGGAAAGTTATTAATAACATTTAAAGAAAAATTTAAATAATAATATAAATGGCAACCCTGCGCCACCACATCGTACGGCATTCACGGTACTACCAAAATTGCAGCGGTACCGACTAGGGATGGGCATTATTTGCTTAAATTCTGCTAGAGATGTAGCGCAAAAATAAGAAATTATTTTAGGCTGCTACAACGATAGTAATAATCATAATGTTTATTTAAATATACCTTAGGTATAACTTTTGTACAACAATAAGTGAATAAGTTAACATACGTATTTCTAAATAAAAAAAAATTGTAGTACATGTACATGTGTTTTTCATAACACTAATAACTTTTCATAACAGTAATAATAATAATATTATAATTCCATTACATAAATAATTATATATAATAAAATTCTACAGTATGTCCCCGGATTGACTTTACAAGAGGAAAAACTTTTTTATTATTGACATTTTGAGAAAAATGTATTCTTCATAAAAAAATTTGCTTGTTCTAAAATGGTTAATCCCGCGGCATTTATACTTATCCAAATTTCCATACCGTTTTAGAGAAAATTAAAAAAAACTTGAAAATATTGTTAAATTTTTTTGAAGTCCTAAAAATCAAAAGGCGTTTCTATGGTAATATAATTTCGATTTTATTCTTTGATAGATGTTATTAATAAATGTGTGTTTTATTTATGTAAATTTATATGCATGGGAAATGTCATTGATCGTCATTTCCCATTCAACTGGACGCCGTTTTTTTTCGATCATAGGGAGTACCTAAGTTTTGTTTTATGTTGATTTATTTTGTAATGTTTTATTTTTTATGTTCCTTTATTATTATTTTTTCTTATGTGGGATAAGTAAAATTTTTGTTTTTATATATTAAATGACTTGATATACCTACATAAGGCTATATTATGTTTTTTAGTGTTTTTTTTTTATTTTAATATAAGGGCCCCTAAAAAATCTTGCGGGGGGCCTCACATTTGAAGTTACGCTACTGGTTAATATACCGTATGATTGAAAAAAACGGCGTCAGCGATGGCTATGAAATGAAGATAGCTGTCATTTAATATGTAAATTTATATGGGAAATGTTATCGATTGTCATTTCCCAGCCAACTGGCTCTTTTCTTTCGATCATACGGTATTACATATGGGTATTTCAACAGTAATTTTTTATCAAAGCCACCCAATGACTTTTATCTGGTATTTTACCGTTGAAAGAGCGGATCCTTTACGAAGAAACGGATCTGTTTACGAACTTTTGAAGCCAATTGTTTTTTCCCAGAAAACACGCACCGACATCTCAGTGTGTGGGCTTTACTCATATATTTGAATTCTGTAATAAAACTTTATGTATATTCAGGAAAAATCTTAAATAAAACTCAATTTATTTTTTAAAACATAATTTATTTTACAAAAAAATAAACCAATTTTTCTCAGATGAGATTTATAAAACGCTGTTAAAAGAAATACTAAACAAGAAAAGGGCAGACATAATAATTAGAGCATACTTTAAACTATACATTTATATACAATTATACTTATCACTTATTTTTTCATTTAAATAGTAATGCTTAATAGAAAATTTAAAGAAATATGTACAATTATTGAAGTTGGAAGAAATTAAAAAAATAATATGATTAAAATAGAAAAATCAGTCAAAAACAATAACTGTCACACTCCTAAATTCAATGAGGATCATTCAATATAAAAATAACTTATACAAGGTGTTCCGATATTCCGTGGACATGGAACTAATATGTATTTTCGGAATCAAAATAAGTTCATTGGAAACATTTACCTCTATACAAAAGTGCTTCGTTTGTCCGTTAGAAGACACGAAATTTTAAAAAAATAAATACATTTTTAAAGATATTTTAAGAACCGTTATTCCAATTTGAATATTTTCCAACTCCATCGTGACAAGAAATATTATTTGTAAGTCAGCTTTGGAAATGTTTTTTTTTCTCAAAAAGTATGCGAGTTTTTTTCCAACAGAGAAAAAAATGTAGCAAATACTAGAAGGACCATTTTACGAAAAAAATCGGTTGTCGGTAGAGTTGGAGATATTTATTTAAAATTTATGTAGGGATGGAGATAGTTTTCACCCTTCCCGTTCATTCTCATGCTTTATGTGAAAGTCAAATGTGAAAGCGCTTAGCAAAACATAGGCACCCCAAATCGGAATAACGGTTCTTAAAATAGCTTAGAATGTGTTTATTTTATTAAAGTTTGATGCCCTCTAACGGCCTAGTGGTAAATTGTGCCCAATGTACTTATTTTGATTTCAAAAATATGTAGTTCTGTCCACGGAATATTGAGAAACCCTGTATATCTCAAAAATACAAAACAACTTCTGTACCCTAGAAGCAACCTATGTTAAGTCCAAAATTGCCATATTTGAGTTATACTCAACCTGGCCACTGGTCACTTTATTTCCGTGGTCTGTACTTTAATGCATAAGACAGAGATATAAATATACAGGGTGGCGCACCTCATTCACCTCGGTCGATTATACGAAAATGGAAAGATGTAGAAACAAAATATTTTATGGGTATATGTGGGGAGACAATGTGCACAATTAAAAATTATTTTGAAATATACAGGGTGTTTCGGAACTAAGATCCATATCAAAGTTATATTTTTTCTTACGGAACACTCGGTATTTATTTCATTTTTGGATTCTTATGTATTATATTATGATTCATATGTTTAAAATCTTTGGTTTTTGAGATATTTAAAGATATTTAAATTTGCATGCTACAATAGAATACATGCTACGATAGATTATTAACACCCTGTACATTACTTTTCAGAGTTAATTCTTGTGCTGAGTTTAAAGGTAGAGAAATAAACTTTACAGAAAAATATTATTGCTTCCTTAAATGTATACAGGGGTATCAAAAATTACTGGTTTATTTTAAATATATATTTTACATAAAACTTCGTTATTTCAAATGCAACACTATGTATTTTTTTAAATAAGTTGAAGCAGATTTAAATGCTCTTTTAAACTATATTAGGGTTTCCTATACCTATCTGGCTCAGATTTTGAATAAAAAGCGATTTTTCAATAAAATTGTAATGAAGATGGCTAGTGTCGCCATCGTAAGTTTCTAGTGACAGTTAGTAGCTATTTTCAAAATCGAAATTAGTTTATGGACTTGTTTAAATTTGTACCAGTTTACTTTTATTTAATTTACCAACAATAGTTTAATAAATAATATTTATTAAATATGTGTTTATTATTCTATCAAGAAAAACGATGAAGTAGTTCTTTGAATTATTTTACGATAACTTGTAGATATAGTAAACGCCACGAATGTTTGGGAGTGATTCATCGGTCGCTACCATGTGAACCAATCTGTTCAAGGTCACATAAAACTTAATTCCAGTGTCGTGTGGTGTTTCAAGTCATATAATAATCAATATATAGTCTGTTGTAATTTGTTGTTTTAACTGTCAAAGTCTTGTCAAAACATATATTTGGTTATAAATATAAACTGGAATGCCCCATTGGTCGCACTGCAAGCACACCAATGGACTGACGCACAAAAACGAATCAATCAAAGAAACGCGATATAGTATATCGTCTTTGTCAATCACGCTAACATTTTAGAATAAGTAGGAAGAGCGCAGGCAGATGATTAGACCGGGCCTTTAAAAACCTACGTCTGCGGTACAAATTTACGTTTTTAATGTAAAAATGATAGCGCGCGTGTCGATTCTAACTTCATCAAGCGATGAATCACTCCCAAACATTCGTGGCGTTTACTTTATATGGATTTTTTATAAAAGAGCCAATTACGGCAAATTCATTTTCTTCACTTCCAACGACAGGTTTCTGCCTAATAGGTTTTTTATAAACCACACTACCAGCTCTGCGAAATAGGACAAGTAGTTTAAAAAAAACGCGCTTATCAGGAAGATTCCTATTTGGATATCTTTGAGCAAAAGCCCTTGAGACCAAGAAGCAATTTTCCTCACAAAAGTCACAAAAATTCCTCACAAAAATCACTAGTAACATATATATTCGTTCCTCCAGCAGATACTGCTTTATTTTTCTTGATAAAATAATTAATACTTACTTATTAAACTATTGTAGACTATTGTAAACTAATTTAAGTAAACTCTTATAATTAAATATATAAGTAAACTGTAATAATGTCCATAAACTAATGTCGACTTTGAAAATAGTTACTAACTGTCACTAGAAAATTGCCATGGCGACACCAGCCATCTTGATTGCGATTTTATTTAAAAATCGCTTTTTATTCAAAATCTGATGGGTATAGGAAACCCTAATATTGTTTGAAAGAGCATTTTAATCTGCTTCAATTTATTTAAAAAAATACAGGGTGTTGCATTTGAAATAACGAAGTTTTTCTATAAAATATGTCCTTAAAATAGATCAGAAACTTTTGATAGCCCTGTATAAATTTAAGGAACCAATACCATTTTTCAATAAAGTTTATTTCTCTACCTCAGCATAAGAATTAATTCTGAAAAGTAATGTACAGGGTGTTAATAGTCTATTCTATTGTAGCATCCCAAATTTAAATATCTTTAAATATCTCAAAAACTAAAGTTTTTAAACACCCTTATAATAAATGCCTTTTTTTGGGCCCAAGAATCCAAAAATGAAATAAAATACCGGGTGTTCCATAAGAAAAAATATAATTTTGGTATGGATCTTAGTTCTGAAACACCCTGTATATTTCAAAATAATTTTAAATTGTGCACATTGTCTCCCCACATATACCCATAAAATATTTTATTTCTATGTCTTTCCGTTTTCTTATAATCAACCGAGGCGAATGAGGTGCGCCACCCGTTATACAACCAGATGACAGACAAAAACACAAAATAAAAAGCGGTATACAGTTTTGCCGGTTCGTACAAGAAATAAAAGGATAAACGAAGATAATACTGTCTAAGACATTCAATAATACTCACTTCCGTTAGACAGTTGTTTAAGAATATATTACAGCTGTATTAAAATGAGTAACTAATTGTGAAAAATAAAGTTCCAACACTAGATGCAACATTTTTCGTAAACACCTACTTGTGCGGTTTGAAATTTTAATGCAAAATCCGGCAATACCCGCATAAAAAAAATGTATCCTCTTTAATACTAATAATTTGATTTTTCATTTAAGCTGTCTACATCACTGTTTATATGTTAAAATCCAGACCACGCAGTTTCAATGACCAGATCGGTATACATCAAGACACTTAACTTTTTATGCTCTATCCTGGCCTCTTTCTCATTTTGTGCTATATGTAGGAATAAATTACTCTGTTCCAAATCAAATTAAGTCCAATGCTGGCTCTGAGCTAAACAAAACTTGAAATTCGTTTTTCTCAAAACTATGTTCAAATAACGCCTGGCAACTAAGTTTGCTTCTGGAGTACAAAATTGGAACATAATAACGGCAATCAGATTCATTCTGGCACATTTCCAAAGTTTCACATCAACTACTGTCTCTTTGGAATTTGATATTGTGATTTTTCACATAGTCTGGAGCAACTTCGTTCAGCCAATCACTATTTATAGTAGTTAAACCTCTTAAATAACACTTGGTCGTTTGAACTACCTCAGTAAATATAACACAATGTGGTTGCTGTCCGTGAATGTTTGAGCTTGGATGAATTTGTGTCACTTGTCGTTTGTCCAACTGAAATGAAAATGTTTATTAACATTGTGCACAGTATTAGGTACTAACTAAAATCATACTGTAATATATTGTCTGTCTCTATGCAATTCAGCTACATTCATAAATAAACCACTTAGCAAACATTTTCTCAATTGGTCCATCTGACTGCCACAAGAAGATCCTCTTATATCGCATTGTTTACAAATTTCCTAAAAAATATATTACCATATTAATTTATTGGTTCTTTTAATCAATTATTGCATTCGAGTAGCATATCCTTCAGATAAAAATAAGTAAAAAAGTTTGTATAAATATACAGTATGTCCCCGGTTTGTCTTTACAAGAAGAAAAACTTTATTATTGACATTTTGAGAAAAATGCATTCTTCACTATTCTTCATTCAAATGTTTGCTTGTTCACTAATTGGTTAATCCCTTTCCTACTTTTCAAAATTTGAACAAAATATGAAATAAACTCCCAAAAATGAGAACGCGTTTCTATGGTAATATAATTTCGTTCTTATTCTTTAATAGGTTAATAGATTGTTATTGATTTCTAGCTAGGTATATTCTTTGGTTATTGATAGAATCATAGATAAATGCAACAAGTTTAGATTGGAAAGCCCGTAAAAAATTTACGTCGCGAAATTATTTTGGGTCGCGACCGTTATACGCGATCTGGCGCTGCTATAGCGGTTGCTAAGAACAACGGCAAACAAAAACAGAAATAATTTTCTCTTGTCAAAAGCTTTGTTCGGGTTCTTGTCATTACCGATTCTGAACCGTCCTAGAACTCTGCAGCGCATGCGCAAATGAAATAATTTATCCATATTTCCTTCTGCGCATGCGTATCACAGTTCTAGGACGGTTCAGAATCGGTAATAAGAAAAACCCAAACAAAACTAAAGTCAGAATCTTCAAAAATCATAATAATCTTTCAAAATCCAAACCGCTCTCATTAAAGAAATTCCGAAAAGTGTTTATAGCGTCCATTTTTAAAGTAATAATTGCTATCTTGTGAGTTTAATTCAAGTTTTATTTACTCCAACCGGTGATAATAGTGAAAAAGTGGCATTAAAACCTTAAAAAGTTGTGCTGTGAACTGTGAACTGCAAAAATCATCGTGGATCGTGGCATAACGTCGGTTTCCAATGTTTCATAGGTATTTCATACATGCGTCCTCATATAAAATAAAGTTTCTTGTATGCAACACACTGTCTTTTATTTATAAAATTAAACGAAAATAATAATAAATTTGAATAAGCAATATTTGGCGATATAATTCCGGAAAAAGCCGAACCGCTCCGAAATTTTCAAAAGTTTTGGGTCGCGACCGTTGCAAGGATAGCGCCAAATAGTGTTTACATTGTCCTTATGGGCACTTTCCAATCTAAACTTGTTTCATTTATCTATGGATAGAATTTTTATTAACGTCATATTTTTTGCTGTTTTAAAATGTTGAAGCACAAAATTTATTTAGTTCGATGCTATGGATAGGGTGATAATATTTATCGAAAAATGTGATGCTTTAATAGTCTAAGAGCTAGCAACGTTTTCGAGAAATTATTTTAAGACGTCTCTTTGATATATCTTTTACTATGCTCTCTGGAACAGCATGCGGCCCGTCTGGCTGCTACAGACGTGTAGACGGTATCAGCGAGTTCAAACTACAGTTTTGTGACTCTTGTGAGTTTTGTGTTATTATTTATCAGCTCTCAGAAAATGTCTGATATGCGTACTTATTTCAATAAGGAGTTTATGAGGAGTTTCGTTGAAATATATCGATCGTTGCCGTACCTATGGAAGATAAAATCGAAACATTCTTCCTATAGAAACAGAAAAAATATTCACACAAGAAAATGGGTTTTTCTTTAACAATAAGTAATACAAAAACAATAGCTTTTTTCGTTTTCCTGTTATTACCGATTCTGAACCGTCCTAGAATTGTGATGCGTATGCGCAGAAGGAAATATGAAGACATTATTTCATTTGCGCATGCGCTGGAGAGTTCTAGGACGATTCAGAATCGATAATAACAGGAAAACGAACAGACCTAATAATTCGTCACTTGACATTTCCACGAACGGAACCACAAATTCAGAATAAAAATAATGATGAATGTACGCTCTTACTTGCATCGTGTGGACACCGCACAGTTTGCGCAAGTTACCTTCTAGTTTGCGCAAACTATACCGTACAGGCAAGTCGCTACCGTATAGCCGCCGCTTTAGATAGTTTCAGAGATATTAAATAATAAGTAAATAAAAAATTATATGTTTTTCAACCTTTTTTAAAAAAATTATTATAAATACAAGAAATGTCCTGAAACCAAAACTACACTAGGTATTTACTATAGTTCGTTGGTACTTACTTCGGTATAAATGTAATTTTAAATCAGAGTATTCAAAATTTTAGGCCAAAATTTCAAAAATATAAAATAAGTTTTTTTTAAATGAAACACATATCGAATTAAAAAATTAATTTTTTTGTATTAGTTTATTATTATATTAATTTATTGGTTCTTTTAATCAATTATTGCATTCGAGTAGCATATCCTTCAGATAAAAATAAGTAAAAAGTTTGTATAAATATACAGTATGTCCCCGGATTGTCTTTACAAGAGGAAAAACTTTATTATTGACATTTTGAGAAAAATGCATTCTTCACTATTCTTCATTAAAATGTTTGCTTGTTCACTAATTGGTTAATCCCTTTCCTACTTTTTAATATTTGAACAAAATTTGAAATAAACTCCCAAAAATGAGAACACGTTTCTATGCTAATATAATTTCGTTTTTATTCTAGGTTAATAGATTGTTATTGATAGAATTTCTATTAACGTCATATTTTTTGCTGTTTGAAAATGTTAAAGCACAAAATTTATTTAGTTCAATGCTATGGATAGGGTGATAATATTTATCGAAAAATGTGATGCTTTAATAGTCTAAGAGCTAGCAACGTTTTCGAGAAAGTATTTTAAGACGTCTCTTTGATATATCTTTTACTATGCTCTCTGGAACAGCATGTGGCCCGTCTGGCTGCCGATACCCGTTGCCTTCACTACTGCGCATCGGAAGAAGATCCTATATTTTTTATTAATTTAGTCCTATAAATTCTAGTATTGAATATAAATCGAACATGTCTCCATAGCGCAGTGCGTAGAGTTTCCGACCACGAACCGATGATTCAGAGTTCGAATCCGGGTCAGGGCAAAGACTTTTTTATTTTATTTTCGATTATATTCTGATAGTAATATTTGTTTTTTTTTAATTACCAGATACGTCTACGTCTTTTACAAAACCGATATACCAGTTTTGGTACCGATACCTAACGCAAAATATAAAATTTCACTTACTTGTAACTGTGATCTAACTTCTCGAACATATAAGATATTTCTCATATGAATAAAATGTTCATGGCACCAAACTTTCCTATTATTCTGGCCAATATTTTCAAATTCTCTATAAGCATTTAGTAATGTAAGATGGTCACCATAACCAGAATGAAATTTTTGTCTAGCATTTTGAGCCTCTTCCCTCTTAGATGGAGGATTCAAAAATATTGATTCACTCGAAAGAAGTGAAACAACTGACAAAGCCTCCTCTAAACAGCCAAATTTTTCTGTAATAAGAACTTTATAAAAACAGTTATAATTCAAATTAAGCCACAAACCTGCTGAAAGAAGAATTTTACTAAAACGTGGATCTAATGGAAATTTCGCCATTTTTCTTCCTAGATTAGTTAAAACTTTTGAATTTATGTCATCTATAGCACCAAGAAGCTGAAGCTGCTCAAACGCAGCTTCAATAGTATCATTTGGTGGTTTATCCAAAAAATCAAAATGTAGCATATGAATACCGAGAGCCAAAAGCTGTAAAGCTACAGAATTTAAGTTGGCTCTTTGAATTTCTGGAATGCTATTTTTCTTCATAAGTTCAAATTGTGATTTGGTATAAATTCTATAACAGAGACCCTCCGATTCTCTACCAGCCCTTCCTGTTCGTTGCCATGCTTGTTCTTGTGAAATTCTTTGCACTTTTAATATTTCCATGCCGGTTGATGGATGAAAAGTCCTAAAATGTAATAAATCTTAAGTATTATTAAAAGCATTTAAGAATATTCAAAAATATACAGGATCCTGCAACAGTGCGTAGGGCATCTGTAGCTCTATAATAAAAAACTTAGGAATTTTGTTTTAAGTGCAAATTTGGTGCAAACCTGCTAGGATGTACAGGGTGTCCCACTAAGAATCGCTCTCGGCTGTATCTCGGAAAGTATTAGTCGTAGGGCTTGCGGAAAAAAATATTTATAACTAAGGTGACAATGAGAAATTGATGGACATTATTTTTAATTTTGTAGGACGGCCGCTAGAGGGCGCAACTGCTATGGAAAAAAAGAAAATGGAATTTTTTCAAAGTTTTGTCTAGATAAGGTGTACCCTAATTAATAGCTTCACAATATTCAGTAAATTTTGGATCTTTTTTGCTAGAACCATTTTCACCTATCTGCTAAAGTAAAGTGGTGGGGGAAGGTTAGATCTGTTTTTGTTTAAATATTAATAACTCCAGATTAGGTAAACGGAATCCAACAAAGGGGGCTCGTTTAAAAAAACGTTTCTTACTCTATATTATCCCGTATAAACAATAATAATAAGCTTTTGAATGTGGACGCTAGGGGGCGCTGTCTTACAATTTAACAAACATTGCGCGTTTTTTCAAAAAAACTTTCGAAAATATAAAAAAAGTTTTTTTTTAAATGGAACATATGGCGAATTAAAAAATTAACTTTTTGTATTTAAAGTACTTTAAAATGTTTAACGGTTTCGCAGATATTCGCGGTATTATATTACATATTATTGCTTTTTCTACAGTAAATTTGTATCAAAGCCACATTAATAATACCGCGAATATCTGCAAACCCGTTTCAAATTTTGAAATACTTTAAGTACAAAAATGTTAATTTTTTGAATTCTCCCTCACTTTTTAATTCTCACAAAAAATAATACACAGCGTGATCCATTTAAAAAAGAAGAAAAATTATTTTATATTTTAGAAAGTTTCACATAGAATTTTGAACACCCTATATGATTTAAAATAACAACATTTATAGCAAAGTAAGTACTGACCAAGTATAGTAAATACCTAGTATAGTTTAGATTTCAGGACATTTCTTGTATTTTTAATATATTTTTTAAAGGCTAAAAATATTTTTTTTTGTTTATTTATTATCTTTGAAACTATCAAAACATTTAATAATATCTTGGAAATAGGTAAAGCGATCAGAAAGGAAACCAAAAATGCTATAAAAAAAATAATAATAAGGTATTCCATTTGATACAAATCATCCCAGTCCACCAACACTTTTTTGAACCACCCTGTAGAAGTTAAAATATTTTCCTGAAATAGGCACTAGTACATACCTTAGGTATGCACTTGAACAAAAATTGTAAGTTCTTTTTTATAAGACCTACAGATGTCAGATGCTCTGTTGCAGGACCCTATGGATAAATTTCAACTTAATACCTTGATTTAACCATACCACCATCTATTACATATTTAATACCACTAATTGTCACACTAGTTTCGGCTATATTTGTACTAATAACCACTTTTCGAGTTCCAACAGGAGCAGGTTGAAACACTGCCATCTGCTGCATACTTGGTTGAGCAGCGTACAAAGCGCACACTTTTACAGGCGGTCCTTCAACTTCAGGATCTTTTGAGAGCATTCGAATCTGATGAGCGCAGCTTTCAATTTCCTCTTGACCAGTTAAAAAAATCAAAACATCGTGGCTAAAAATCATGAATGTTATTGAAAACAAAACAGAATACAAAAAATAGAAAATTTACTCAGGTGGTGCCTCTCTATGAATTTTAAAAAACGTTGAAACACAAGCAGTTTGATAGTTATCATGAGGTTTTACTGTATAAAACATTTGTACTGGATATGTTCTTCCTTCAATATAAACCACTTGGCAATTATTAAAGTATTTTGATAGATGGTCAACGTCCATTGTAGCAGACATAAGAATAATCTAAAAATATTCAAAAGTTCCATGAATAATACAGTAATTTAATTTAATCTTATTCTATACCTTTAGAGGAGGTAAATGTCTCTCAACCCTAACTCTCTGTGCATTCTTAACAATACCAAACAATACATCAGTATGTATGGTTCTTTCATGAGCCTCGTCTAATATAACTACTGAATAATCCAAAAGCAACCGATCTGTAATAGCTTCACGAAGAAGCATACCATCTGTTAAGAATTTTATCCTTGTCTTTTTTGATGTAACATCTTCAAAGCGTACAGAATATCCTACATAATCACCAATAGACATCTGAAAATACACTCAATTAAAATTAGTTTTAAAATGCATTGAAATTTAAAATTACCCCATTTCCATACTCTTGAGCCACCCTCATGGCAACACTTATCGCAGCCACCCGCCTAGGCTGTGTTACAGCTATTTTCCCATTTTCCATTAGCCTAGCTGAGTTAATATACTGTGGTACTTGAGTGGTTTTACCACTACCAGTTTCAGCTAATATAATTAAAGTGCTGTGCTGTTTCATCAATTCAATTAACTTGTTTCTCTTATCAAATATAGGTAAATTTCTCCTTTGTTCTTGCAAATTAACTTTAGGTTTTAATGAATGTCCATTAACATTCGAAAATGTGATTGCTTTCTTGGCTGTTCCGTTTACTCCATTTTCATTTAATTTTATTCTCTTTGCTGGCGGGGAACCGCCATATTTAGTACGGAATAAAATTGGGGTGGGTTTTAGTTTTAAAGAAATTTTCGAGGAGTCCAATTTCCCGTTTAAATTGTATTTTGAATTTGGATCCATACCGACTTTAAGGTTATACACGTGATTTCTTTAAATAAATTGAAGTACGACGCGACACAAAATCACAACAGACTAAACGACTTGATAACACTTTTTCCTAATATAAAATATTACACATCACTCCCATAAACTACATTATATAAAATTATATATAAATATTCCAGTTAAAATTAAATGGCAACAAAACAAACGTCATACACATAAATTGTTTTGACTTTTTGACTATAGACTTTTGACGTGCTTCAAAATTCAAAATCGAATGTCATATGTCATCTTGTTATTTATTTTATCTACGATACATTGGAACTACAAAATCGTATTCTCATCAGGGATGGGCATCATTAGGAACTTAATTAAAAATTATACCGTATGATCGAATAAAAACGGCGTCAGCGATGGCTATGAAATGAAGATCGCTGTCATTTTGTATGTAAAATTAAATGGGGAACTGTGATGGGGAATGATTGAACAACAATGAATGACATTGATGTTCATTTTCAAGCCAACTGGACTCCGTTTTTTTTCGATCATACGGTATATGATATAAACACATATATAGACATATAATTGTTTTTAAAGTTTTGGTCGTTTTGAGGAATTTAACCCAGAATTAACCAAAACATTTCAGAGTGATTTTCCTGTCCTAGTATCCTACTCTAGTGAGTATAGTATACCAGAGGTAACAACAGAACAAGTCGACGAATTCCAAACCATATAATAGGATATAACTAGGATATAATTTAGGTTTTTTTGTCAATATATACCGAATGATCGAAAAAACGGCGTCCAGTTGCCTGGGAAATGACGATTGAGAACGTTTCCCATAAAATGACAGCGATCTTCATTTCATAGTCATCGCTGACGCTATTTTTTTCAATCATAGTACGCGGTATATTATTTATATTATTATCAGATTATTATTTTAATATTTCGCACAACACGTGAAACGTGAACGCTTATTATGTATTTTCATAGTCAATAAAATTAAATAGAAATAAAACTCTAGATTCCTATAATTAATCTAATTGCTCTAGATTATTATGCTACGTTTCAAAAGTGCTTTATTAAAAATTCGGGAAATTAAAACGGATGTGTCCAAGTTTTTTCTTTTTTTTTTATTTTTAAATACTGTAAACTGTAGCTCCATGTCATGTTCATAATAGTTTTTTTTTAACATTCCATCAGAACTACGGAGGCCTTAAAAGGCCTTTTAGCCTCCGTAATTAAAATTGTAGAATCAGCTTCAGCAACATTTACAGTTACCTTGTTTAATTCTGCTTATACATATATTGCATTAATTTTTCTGCTACCTTAAGATTTCTCTATTCTTACACCTAATTTATGTGATTTTCTTTTTTCTTAGCATAATATGATTTGGTTTGGTTGCAGTAATAAATAAGTTTTACTGTAATTTGGTGCAAATTACAGTAAATTAAGAAAAAAATATAAGTAATGTATATTCTACGACACAAATCATCTCCCTTCTAACGAGAAAAAGATAAAACATAAAGCTTATTTTAATCTTATCAACACACTCTTCGAAAAATTGCATTAATCCACTAACTTGATATTTTTAAGAAATTATGATACAAACGATACAAACATTATAATCAAAGTATATTATATTAGTAACATTATAGGTAAAATGTTACCTCAATATCTCCCATTGACGTGTATTGTTTAATAAGACTAGTCATGGTAGTATTTCAAAACATATCAATACATATAATCAAAACTATTGTTGCCTGTAAATAACTAGAAATTAAATAACTTGAAAGAAATAAAATAATTCTAATAAGTTTAAAACCATTAAGAAAAAATCCGTACATGATAATTTTTAATTCTAATGTAAATATATAAATAAATGTTATATTATTACAATTTTATATATTCATAATACTTTCATTTCACAATCTTCATTATCCTTCTTACCTTAATTTTGGATATCAAGATAAATCTGAAATTATAAAATTAATTATAGAATTTGTACCATATGATCGAGAAAAAACGGCGTACAGTTGGCTGGGAAATGACGATCGATGACATTTCCCATATAAATTTACATTTAAAATGACAGCGATCTTCATTTCCCAGCCAACTGGACGCCATTTTTTTTCGATCATACGGTATTATTATTGATTAACACTCAAAAAAAAAATTTTCAACTGCAAATAATTCGAAAATAAACTGCAATTTGGCAACATCGACGATGCGCGCTTGCGTAGTATCGATGATCAAATGCAGCAAATATGGGCTTCAAGGTCAGCCACTGGATCCACACCCTCCACACCTTTATACCCAAAAAAGTTATAGACGTGAACCACTCTTGAGAAACACCCAATTTACTATAAAATGCTTCAATAGACTACAAAATTATATTCGCACCAATATCGCAAATCGCAACTCCTAAAAATTCAAACTCGTCGATAGAAATCACGGTCCCAGTTTACAAAATCACATTCGCAGCAAAATCGCAACAAACTCGCAAATCGCAGCTGTAGTTATACTGGTTGCCTAAATTGAAACTCGCAAATCGAAAATAGAGCCAATCGTAGGCTGCGATTGCGATTTTAAAATCGCTGCGATTTCTTGCTCATCTCTAATTACTACTATACGTAAAATAAAGAAAGGGAGGTAAAAAATATTGTATCAATAACAGTCGCATTAAAGCAAAGTGTACTAAATTTGTTAATATATGTATTTACATTTTCATTTGTATAAAAAAGCTAGTTACAATTTAACAATCATTATATATATATATATAGATATTTAATAATATAAAATAAATAAACCTCTAAAAATATTTAAAATCAATTAGAATAATTAGATACTTACATTACATATTATTAATACATAAGTTATATACTTAATAATAAAGTGATTACTCTATATATTAGGGGGCTATATTATAAAATATAGATCACAGTACTTGTTACTTCAATATTTACATTAATATTAAACTAAGTCATTTTATAGAAACGTAAGTTTTGGCAACTAATTAGTCAGAAATAAGTTTATTTTTTTATTTATATTTTAATAGTTTTATATTATCAAAGTATCAGATATTTTCTGTAAAAACTTAAATTATGCCAATGTAAGAAATAAGGATGGCAAACATCTATAATTACAAATTTAAAATTAAATTATAGTCTGTATACTTTTATATGCATCAATGGCACGAAGGCAATTTCGTTTTGTTGAAAATTTGAATTTCAGTTGCAATTTCTAACTACCCATCAATGCAACGCAAACTGATATCACCGCCAAGAAAACTGCAGTCACATGCGCTTTAATCGTTGTGGCACTTGCACTGAAATCTCCCGTTCCTCTTTCTATACTCTTTTGAGCTTTGAAAGCTGCTGAACATATGTCCCCACAATCTTCTTCTTCGCAAATATCACACAGAGTTGCCCTAGGACCCCAGTAAAATACTCTAGCTCTTCTTGCTAAAACAAAAAAATCTAGTTAAAGTTTTTCCTACAACTCAGGGAATATTTCAACAAACGTCATCCAAAAAATGACAGAAAATACAATATATTTGTGAATTAAAATGACATCATTTCATAGATAAACGAAACAAGTTTAGATTGGAAAGTGCCCATAAGGACAATGTAAACTCTATTTGGCGCTATTCTTGCAACGGTCGCGACCCAAAGCTTTTGAAAATTTCGGAGCGGTTCGGCTTTTTCCGGAATTATATCGCCAAATATTGTTTATTCAAATTTATTATTATTTTCTTTTAATTTTATAAATAAAATACAGTGTGTTGCATACAAGAAACTTTATTTTATATAAGGACATGTATGAAATACTTATGAAACATTGGAAACCGACGTTATGCCACGATGCACGATGGTTTTTGCAGTTCACAGCACAGCTTTTTAAGTTTTTAATGCCACTTTTTCACAATTATAACGGGTTGGAGTAAATAAAACTTAAATTAAACTTACAAGATAGCAATAATTACTTTGAAAATGGACGCTATAAACACTTTTCGGAATTTTTTCAATGAGAGCGGTTTGGTTTGGTTTGGTTGATTAGATTAATTAGTTAATTAGATTTTGAAAGATTTTATAATTTTTGAAGATTCTGACTTTGACGAGAGAAAATTATTTCTGTTTGTGTTTGCGGTTGTTCTTAGCAACCGTTATAGCAGCGCCAGATCGCGTACAACGGTCGCGACCCAATATAATTTCGCGACCCAAAATTTTGACGGGCTTTCCAATCTAAACATGTTTCATTTATCTATGCATCATTTGTATAATAAAATTAATTGAAATGACAAGGTTTCTAAAATAGTTGTAGTTATTCAATCGTGAAAAAAATAATTCACCCGTGAGATTGTGCTACAAGGACTCTTGCATTGGTTATTTTTAATTTTAGCAAACATCCCCTAAACTATGGTACCCCAATGTTAGCATTTTCGAGATTTATGCCCACTTACACCGTTTGTATATACTTTGTTTAAAGCCTAAACAGTGATTAACTATACATATTTTATTATAGTTAATCACTGTTTAGCCTTTAAACAAAGTTTATACAAACGGTGCAAGTGGACATTAGACTTCTTGACTCTTTAGAAAATTTTACAATAATGGATCAACTTGAAATAAGCTTATATTTAAATCTATAAGGAAATGTCAATCATATAATATATACTTCTGGACTATAATTTAAACTTCTGGACTATTTATAAATTTTACAATAATAGATCAACTTGAAAGAAACGTTTTTTTTTTGAATATTTAAAAAATGTGCATCCGATCCTTCAAAATCTTGAAAAATTAATAAAAATAAGTTATTTTAGTATTTTTCAAATTTAGACCTCTTAATTCTTTAGAATATTTGGCAATAACATCAAATTTTAGAATAAATAATGGATCTACAAAGAAATGTTAATCATATACTTCGAAATCTTGAAAAATTATTAAAATAAGCTTTTTGGGGTTAAGCCGTTTTTACGCTGGTAGAGAAGCTAAATATGGCGAAAAATAATATAGATAATAAACTTATAGACTATACTCTGTCCAACGAGAGAATACATGACAGTGACAGTTCAGTCTGTCATTTTAATTCGCAGATAAATTGAAGGAGTGGCTGCAATAACCATCAGGCAGCTCCACTTTTTTTCGAAAATTAGATTTTTAATGAATTATCCTTTAAAAAAATTGGCCGATCGTTTTCTACAACAATCAGTTCACTCAATATAACAGTACATAAATGGCGACGTTAGTTGTAGCTGCCTTGCTCTGGGTTTGCAGCAAGAACCGAGCAGTTCTTTTTCGATTTCCCACAAATTTACTAAAATGGAGCTGCCTTGTTATTGCAGCCACCCCTTCAATTGTATGTTCTGTCAGTTTTTGGATGTCGAATCATTTGCTAATTGGACAGACTATATCATTTTTGAATGTCTTTCAAAAAATTACAGAAAAAAAACAAGCAAATTTTCAACTAAAATGAGAGAACGATTACTTAAGCGGGCCATTCACGATACTGCGGCGCCGTACAACAGAATAGTACAACAAAATTGAACAATTTTGCAGCAAATTGACAACGCTCACTCACGATTAAACATTTAGTTTAAAAGTGTTGTTCAAGCAAAAATGTCGGAAAGCGAAGAAGATATTTTGTTAGCAACAGCTGCAGTATGTGCAATACAAATAATTGAAAAACGCAAGAAACGATATTGTAATCGAAGGTGGTGGTGTAAGGAATGGTTACTAAAAAAATGCACATATTCACATATTAATTTACTCGAAGAATTACGGCTGTACCCAGATGATTGGCGTAATTATCTACGAATGGACGAAGACTCATATTTAGAGTTACTTAATTTAGTTGCACCCTTCATTAGAAGAAAAGATTCGAATATGGGCTCCACTTCTTTGAATTTTGCAACAGGAGTACACATTGCCCGTTTTCTTGCTACATGATCATGATACTCTGGGGCATTAACTTTCCAAAGACACGTAAAACTTCGGTAGATTTCAAAAAACTTAATTAAACATTGCTGGGAATATTTAGACATCTTTACAGAAATCGGCACGATTTTACTGCTGCAGTTAAAGGTTTCGAACTGCGATCCAATACAATTCAACTCGGTCGGTTGTGCACACACACGAACAATATTGTCAATTGTCGTCCGATTTTGTCGTATCCAACATAATCGTACTGCGGCGTAGTATCGTGAGTGGCCCGCTTTAAATAATCTCTCGTCAAACACATTTTTTTATAATGTATCCATGAGTATGCTAGTACAAAGGTATAGTCCTGTAACCAGTACTATGCTTCAACTCTATATTTTAAATTTGGACTATTGTTTAATTTTTTTTATGGCTTAGTAAATTATCACAGCTCCATATCGTATATAATATCAATCCAGTTATCTTGCGGCTTGGACACTGACGCTTGTTGTTTTTAACTATTATAAAACTCATCATTACAATTTAGCTACTTACAAGTATCATAGTAATCATAGATTACTACAGGAACAGGCCTTTGTTTAGCCACCTTGTGAGTTCTGTACGCCGATACTGTCGGGCAATATTCAGTGACCGTCAAATTATTGAAATACAAGATAACTTTAGTGTCGCCATGACTAGTCTCGACTTTCTGGACGTTTTGTGACACTTCGAGACTTGGAAGTGAGTCTCTGTCGGCTGTAAATCCAGATGGTAACGTCACTTCCATAACAGCCATATTGCTCAAACGTGTTTGGGATAAGTTTCGGCTCACAAAGCTAAAATAGAAGAGTTTGGCTTAAAAAAGGTAGAATAATAAAAGTGTTTAAACATTAAAATATGAAACTACTCATATCTAAAATTAGTTTTATATTAGAATTCTTAAGTTGGAGATTACATCCATACTGTATGTTCCCGGATTGTCTGTACAAGAGGAAAAACTTCATTATTATTGACATTTTCAGAAAAATATTTCCTTCATAAAATTTTTTGCTTCTTTTAAAATGGTTAATCCCGTTTATACTTTTCCAAATTTCCATACTGTTTTAGAGAAAATTAAAAAAAGACATTAAAATATATATAGTTGAATTTTTGAAAGAAAAGAGTTTTTTGAATTCCTAAAAATCAAAACGCGTTTCTATGGTAATATAATTTTGATTTCATTCTTTGATAGATTGTTATTGATAGACTTTAATTAATGTCATATTTTTTGCTGTTTTAAAATGTTAAAGAAGCACAAAATGTATTTAGTTTAATGCTACGAAAAGGGTGATAATAGTTATCGGAAAATAACATACTTTAACAACCACAAAAAATATAACTTTAATCAAAATTAATACTAACTATCTATCAAAGAACGAACCAAATCGAAATTATGTTACCATAGAAACGCTTTTTAACTTTTAGGACTTTCAAGGGAAAAGTTGAATTTTTATGTTTTTTTTAAACGATATTTTTATGTTTTTTTTTTTTCATTTTCTCTAAAACGGTATGAAAATTTGGGAAAGTATAAACGGGATTAACCATTTTAGAACAAGCAATTTTTTTTTTATGAAAAATGCATTTTTCTGAAAATGTCAATAATAAAAAAGTGTTTCCTCTTGTAAAGACAATCCGGGGAGCATTTAAGCAAAATGTACCATCATATAGTCGATAATGTGATTTTCCCTACTCTCATTGGTTAAGACTAAACGCTGGTGCGTTTTGCCAAACGTGGTACGTTCTGCCATATTCTTTCCAGCATCATGCAAATGTTTTAAGGACAATGCGGATTACACTAACATGTTATAAACGCCATTATTAAAATCTTTGATTTTTAGGAATGACCACAGAATTATCCTATTTAATATTTGATCGTCTTTTTAGGACCAGCGTGAAATGTTAAGAAAACGCCTATTTTATAAAAATATTAGTCTGACACCTCAGAAAAATTATTTGTTTTATTTCCGTGTGTCCTGGCGTCTCTGTAACACAGACAGGTATTATGTGGGAATGCAATGTACATAATTTAAAATTATTTTGAAATGTACAAGGTATGTTAGAACTAAGATACATACCAAAGTTATATTTTTTCTTATGGAACACAGGTATTTTATTTCATTTTTGGATTTTTGAATATAAGGCATTTATTATAAGGGTTTAATATGTTTAAATGCTTTGGTTTTTGAGATATTTAAAGATATTTAAATATGCATGCTATGATAAAAAAGTTTGTCAACACCTTGTACATTACTTTTCAGAATTAATTTTTGTGCTGACTTTCAAGCCAGAGAAATAAACCTTACTAAAAAATTTGATTGCTTCCTCAAATGTATACAGGGGCATCAAAAATCAAACATAGAAATAACGAAGTTTTTATATAAAATAAATATTTAAAATAGACCAGCAATTTTTGATACCCCTGTATACATTTAAGAAAACAATACATTGTTTTAGTAAAGTTAATGTCTCTGGCTTCAAAGTCACCACAAGAATAAACTCTGAAAAGTAATGTACAGGGTGTTGGCAAACTTTTTTATTAGAGCATGCATATTTAAATGTCTTTAAATATCTCAAAAACCAAAGCATCTAAACATATTAAACCCTAATAATAAATACCTTATTTTATGCCCAAGAATCCAAAAATGTAATAAAATACCGGGTGTTTCATAAGAAAAAATATAACTTTGGTATGGATCTTAATTCTAACACACCCTGTACATTTCAAAATAATTTTAAATTATGCACATTGTTTCTCTACATATACCCATAAAAATGTTTGTTTCTACATCTTTCCGTTTAATCAACCGAGGCGAATGAAGGTGCGCCACCCTGTATAATAATGGTCGATCTTCTTTGGAAACTACGTGATTTTTGTCCCAAAGCCACCTCCATACAGCCTGTACGATACGGAAAGAAGTTCGCCGTACAATCCAGGCAACTGAATTTAGTCGCAAAAATTCTGAAGTCCATGCGTCGCAATCTTCTGCTGTTTTTAGTTCAGCATAAATAATGCTACCTCAAACCAATGGTAGATATCAATTAAAAATGCTAAAGTTTATTCAAAAACACAAAACCAACGTCTGTCTTATGAAAACTACTTGAGAGAAGCGTATAACGGCGGCGAGTTTTTGGCGAAGTTATATCAATTCGTCAATTTTTTTTATTTTTTCAGAGCAATTGAAAAGGTTAATGCCATTCGATCTCAGGCATAATACACCACGTTTTAGTAAAGTTTAGCAACATGTACCTGCGTTTGGAATGCACCGCATTTTAGTCATGTTTGGCAAAACGCACCAGTGTTTAGTCTCGACCAATGAGAGCAGGGAAAATCACATTATGGACTAAATAATGGTACATTTTGCTTAAATGCATCCGGAGACATACTGAATATGTGTTATATACTTACGCTGTGCAGATTGACAGCTGAAGATGATCCACGTTCGAGTTTTTGTCTACTTGGGGATCTAAGGTAAATAGAGGCCATGGTCCAGTTACGTTCATATTGTATTGGTAAGACACTCTAAACAGGCCAATTCCATTTCCTTTAGCGGTAACATTTACTTCCCGTGTTTGCTTGTCGATCTGAAATTAAAACATTTAAATAATTATTATATTAGCTAGTTGCTCATCTATAAAAAAGAATAGTTTGAAAGGACATCATCATACCACTAAAGTCCATCCATTAATTTTAAAATTTCAATAAAAAATATTACCTCAGTAGACTGAAGAATCATTGCAGTATTCTGATTAATACTAAATTTGCCCGTTTTACCCTTGTTGTAGCTAAACTCCAACTGCAAATTAACCGGAGCTGCCAACCTTTGCACCATACGATATAGAGCCTGCAGACCCAAAACCGTATCCCTGGAAGACGTGAATCCTCCAAGATTGTTCTGTTGGTTTACCAGCCAGTTGAGGACAGGTAGTGCATCATCCAGCAGATTGGCTTCCAGGAAAGTCAAAAGACCATACGACGTCATTTCTATATCGACTGACCGGGGTAGGTGATTCCAGGGGTTCTTTTGTTCATTTTTGGGAACATCTTTTGCCCACCTAAAATTTTAAAGTTAGGATTCAGTAATAATAATCTCCCAGATACAAGTAACAAGTAAATACCCTAACTTTAAACATACAAGCTGGTATAATTTTCAGAATTTTTATTAAAGACATTTAAATATATTTGGAATTTTTATTTACAAATTTTTATACAAAATTTTAGTTTTTTGTAAATAAAATGATGTATGTTTATTATTTTCGCTTAGTGGACAAGGGTTTTTTATTTATAGCCATTTCTCTCTCTCTCTTTGGTCCGTTTCCCTGAAGAGGGATTAGTGATTATGATGTTCCTGTAGCGGTTTTTATCGTATTATGCCAGTCCGCTCTGTTTTGAGCCATGCTGACGGTTTCATGAAGGCCTTGGCCGATTAGGTCTTTAGTTTGATCAACCCATCTCTTGGGTGATCTTCCTCGTGGTCGCTTTCCCTCTACCTTTCCCTCGACTATTAGCAGCTGCAGTGAGTCCGTTCTTCTAGCAATGTGACCAATATATGTCAGAAAACATCGGTTTATTTTTTTTGAGAGGCTGAGTTGTGAGTTTAGTTCTTGGAGAACTGACTCATTCGTACGATGGGCTGTCCAAGGTATACGTAGCAGACGTCTATATGCCCACATTTCAAAAGCATCTATTCGCCTGGTATCGCTTTTCTTCAGCGTCCATGTTTCCGCCCCATACGTAGCAATCGGGAAAACAAGCGATAGCCATGATAGCCATTTCTAGATAATATAATATAATCACCTAATACAGGGTGGCGCCACTCATATGCCGCGGAAGCTCCAAGGAGAACGACAGTTTGAATTGAAATGAAACTTTGTGAACATATGTAGGTTAATTTAGAGCATTTTACAAAAATATATAGATTTATACAGGGTGTCTTCCAAAAAAGTTACACATCAAAGTTGTGTTTTTTCTAATATAGAGAAGCCATGAACTATCAACAATTTTTGGCCGCCACTTGATTTTTTGCGCAGTCCAGTCATCCACATAAGCGTAGCTAAAGTATGACAAAGCAACACACATTTCTTTAATATTGTTTAATTTTTTATGTTCGATTACATTGCATAGTTTGATTTGATATTAATTTTATTAAGTTGATTAACCATTTTGTCGGATATAAAACCGGTTATTTTTTCTAATTAGCAAAAAAAAAGTAATTTATTAAAGTATCTACACTCAGATGCAAAAAAAAACGCAACGGAGAAAATTTTGGTCAAAATTTTCTCCGTTTAAACTGTTATATTTTTGTTGTTTTTAGTCCTATTTTTATGATTTTTTTTAGCAGGCTCTATATTCTATTTTATAAACTTTAGTAAATGGCATATTACACAGGGTTAATCGAGGGGTTGTTTTTTTTTACCCTAACTTTGACACACCCTGTGCAACAATTTCGTGTGTAAATTTTCCTGAAATATAATTTTAGGGTCAGAACCATGTCTCCTGAGCATTTTGTTTTTTGGATCATGTCAATACATGCCTTGGTTAATTTTTAAGAGCGAAATGAACTTGACACCAACAATTTGCAATTTTTTCAATTATAGTTTATTTTTGAAGTGTTTTTTTCAATATGACAAGGCAGCTTTGGTGATTATTGTGAACTATATACTACTATGAACTGCCCATCATGTTCAACGTTTGGGAAATACTTTGCAGGAGGGTTAGAGGTCGCGAAGCGTTACCAGCTTTATTAAATGAACTTCGCTTGGTCCTTAAAGAAGAATGGAAAAACAACGCAATATAATATATGCAGCCTCAATGACAGTATGAACAAACGCATAAAGGCAATTATAGAAGCCAGGGGAGCAATACAAAGTATTAGGGTATTTTTTACATTGTTTTTTCAGTTTGTATACTTCAGTATTGCAGATGTTTTCCTTAAAATCGTTAGTTCTGTTATCGTTATTAATGTTTATTAAAACCAGGACTGTATCGTTAGTCTTCAACGTTTTTGTTTTAATTTAGTGTAGATTATCCGATGCAGCGTAATATGACGTTACGACAATAGTCACCAAAACCCATCTCGTCTTTTTAAAAAATTACATCAAAAGAAATGATAACTGAAAAAATTGCAAATTGATCGCGATCAGTTCATTTCGCTCTTAAAAATTAACCAAAGCATGCATTGACGTGATCGAAAAAGCAAAATGCTCAGGAGATATGGTTCTTACCGTAAAATTATATTTTAGGAAAATGTACACGAAATTATTGCACAGGGTGTTTTAAAGTTAAGATAAAAAACAACCCCTCGATTAACCCTGTATAATATGTCAATTACTAAAGTTTACAAAAACTGAGTTTACGAATTCAAGTTGATATAATTATATACAGTTTGCTAAAAAAATCATGCAAATAGGGCTAAAAATAAAAAAATAAAACAGTTTAAATTTAACCAAAATTTCTCTGTTGAGTGTTGTTGATATTTTTACTAAAATATACATTGGTAGCTATATATTTTTCTTTTCATTAAAAAAATCTTATTAACTAAAACCTACTTTTGCTACAGTTGAATTTAGCTGCTGTGACTGGTGCGGATATTTTTTGATTGTGTGATTTTGTGATTTTTGAGTGATTTTTGCAAGTGCCACGGCTAGATATATACTAATATTTTTACGTCGATAGTATTTTTAACAAATAACACGAAAGATGACAGGGGAGAATCTGTATTTTGAAAACACCCTGTCATCTTAAAGAAAGTCCCGACCAAAAATAAAACATCTATTTTTTTCAAAAAATTAAATAAAATTTATAAATTATTTTTGGTATTGGTCGGGTACTTTCTTTAACATTGTGACATTTTTGTACTGTGTATGGGGCGGCGCTACAAACCGAAAACTAACAAAAACGAAAGCTAACGAAGCAAATTAAACGTCTAACCGGTTTTTGAAGGTCGTTTAAGAAGAGAAAGACTTTTTGATGCACGTCCTTGCTCCCGACCTGCCCTCAAGTTTTTCTTTTTTTAGTTTTCTTTTTATAAATACGATCTTTGCATGCGTTTTTGCCTGCTTACTGTTTTATTTTTGGTTTGATAATTATTTGCGTATACACATCTTTTCGTCAGTGTTCTCTAACTAATAGTGGTTAAAAACTACCAAGAAACAAATTTGATCTAGTCTCTATTAAGTGGATATATCTGTAATATAATTTAGGTTGGAATCTTTGGTATTACCACAGAAAATTGCACAAGTAAACTGTAATACATCCAAACACTTCATTTTTAATTCTGAACACAGGCTTTAATAAAATAAGTGTCATAATTTATTTCTAATTCACTGATTATTCTGTATATTTACCACTATTTGTAAATAGAGGGTGGTCCGAACTGAATTCTGGAAACTTCGACAGCATATCCTGCAGATAAAAATATGTAAATAAGTTCGTATAAATGTATGTTCTACATTACTTAGTTTCGGAGATATAGGGTGTAGAAGTTTCATTTTTATTCCGATTTTTTCCAAATAATTTCTGAAATAACATGAATATTTGGATGAAAATTGGTGTCTGGGAGTTTTTTGATATGAGAAATTTGATTTTGATATCAATATGACTCCTATTTGTAGGGGGCGCCACCTACATGTGTTTTAACTATTTTGAAGAGTAATAACTTTTTGTCCGTACCTGTATAAAACCCTCGAGTGAAAAATTATACATTTCCGTAATTTTGTACATAAAAAATATCTCTTGGTAAAAGTTGCTACGAGCAATCGTTCTCAAGGTATTTAGAATGGAAGTAGTCAATACATGTCATTATTGACAAAAAAAAAATATGTTGAGTAGATAGTTTAGAGAGGTGCCCGGTGGCGTAGAGGTACAGGCTCTCGTCTACCAATCTGAAGGTAGTGGGTTCGATTCCCACACCCGGCTTTCATCAGCCGACTATTTTTATTAAAATATAAATAGTTTGGGTACCGAGGTCGACTCAGCCTTAAATGAGTACTTGGGATTCACAATCCTGAGGTAATAATAGGCGGTTGAAGCGTAGTGCTAGCCACATTATCTTCCTTGTATACCGAACGGCTCTAGTATAGCAAGCTGTACCTTGCTTCTCACAAGGCGTTAAACGCTATATACGGGAGCTTTTATTATTATTAGATAGTTTAGATTTACCAAGTGGCATTTTTTACGTAAAAAAACATCGTAAATGTGTATTTTTTTACTCAGTAGTTTTATACAAGCACGGACAAAAAGTTATCACTCTTCAACACCCTATATATTCATTGATTTTCAGATTCAGAAAAAAATAAAGGTGAGTTTTATTAAAGAAGCATATACCTAAAATCTAAGGATTTTGACATGTCACATTTTGTGAAAATAAAGAGTAAATTTTAAATTTCGATAACAGCTACCTAAAATTTAGTTGACCTTGTATAGCCTGATATTTAATTACAGTAACCATTGTATATTAAACCAAATTGAAATTTGACCCGAAAAGTTATACAGGGTGAGACAAAATTAATATGGAACAAGCAACAACTTTTAAAAGCAAGTTACTCTTTTATTTTAAATGGACCACTCAGTATATTTTTCCGGTGTTCAATGGGGAATTTATATATCTTCAAAATATTATTAAGGTTGCCTACCCCTCAGACAAAGAGTTTCCTATTATAGATATTTTATTTTTTATGATTTTGCGTCAGTAAATCTTTATTATTTGAAACAATCTAGATGGCTGTGTGATATACTTTTTGTTACTTTAACAAAAATTAAAGGTTATAGAGTAAAATACTCAAGGGTAATAGAAAGGTACACGTTTAAAACATATTTTAATTATTACAAAATTAAAACTAGTTATAAACCTATAATTATGCGACAAAAATTAGCTAGATGAAAGCAAATGCTCAAAATGCTTCCATTCCTGTTAACTGCATAAAATTATTGTCTTCAAGAGGATCTTTTCATTTTAAAAGGTATATGTGGAGTTCTATCTCAAAAAGCAGCTACAATAATTTCGGTCATGTTGTCGACACTAGTTGGTCGAGTTTTGTAAACACTGTGTTTAACATATCCCGATAAAAAAAAGACAGACTATATAAACTCAGGAGCATTTAAGTATTCTATTAATTGGTGAATGCACACTGCATTGACCAACTAATAGAATCATATCAATTCTTTCTGATGTAGGATAAGTTTGCATTTTTGGCAAATTTCTCACCTTTATTTTTCTCCCTGAATCCGAAAATCAATTAATATATAGGGTGTTCCATTACAAAAAACACAACTTTGATATGTAACTTTTTTTAGGACACCCTATAGAACTCTCTATATTTTTAAAAAGTGCTCTGAATTAACCTACATATGCTCACAAAATTTCATTTCAATATAAACTCTTTTTCTCCTTGGAGCCTCCGCGGCGTATGAGAGGCGCCACCCTTTATATCACCTGAGCCACTTGGACATATTAAAAATAACATCAAAAAGTAATGAGATGTAATAAGGTATGTGTTGACATGACCCCAAAAAAAATGCTCAGAAAACAAGACCGAAAAATAATGTTTTAAATTCCTTTGAGTTTTTTTTTTTCGTCAGAGTGTATAATTAGATGTTTTGATAAATTATTCATAGCAAACGATTTTATTAAATTTACGCTTTTCCCAATGAGCTTCTTTGTGGACAACCGGGGCTTCTAACCAATTTTTGTTATCCTGTTTGGATCACACATGATCTGCTATACCTGACTTCATTGTTTCACATCTCTTTGTATGATATTTTCTGGCGTTCCTTTTATATTAAAACTTGTCAAGAGACATTTTCAAGCGCATGACGTACGGGTGTGTTGCAATTCGATATAATAATATGTAGAGAGTTTTCAATCTGTAGCAAATTCAATTTAATTTTATTTAGTTCAGCATTTTGATTATTCCTATTTTGGTTGCTTCAGAATAGTTCGACTAAGAACTGTCCCGTAGGTTTCACTCTTCCATATACAAATACTAATAGATCTACTATTTCTACTGACAAGAACATCCAGAATCGAGAGACTATTTATTGTTTCTCTTTCTCAATCGTAAATGTGATAAAATTATTTTCTAAATTGAGATGATAAAGAAAGGAACTCAAACAAGTCCATTTCAGTCTGTGAAGGTATTGTCAACGTACCGAAGCCAGCCTTTGGCCAGATTTGGCCTTTCGATATGTTGACAAATTTTTAACTATAGTCCGCCTAGAAAGTGTCCGGAATTTTATATTTTTTCTAATTTTAATGTATTTTTTTCTGTAACACTCTAAGACAACAGTAATCCATCACTTAGGTTGAGCCGATAGTAGGCTATGACCAAAATCGCATGGAAACACCATCTGTCAAATATTGTTGATTGTAAACCGGGCGGCTTGAGATTTTAGGAATAATGTCGCAAGTAAAAAAAAGAGTAATGGTAGACTATTTGTATAGAAAAGGTGTTTGAAACGTTAAAAAATTAGTGCAATTGACTGAACTCGGAAAATGTGCAGTATATGAGACAATAAAGAGGATAAAAAATGGCACAGATATGAAGCATGGACCAGTTTCAGGAAGACCGCGTAAAATTCGCGAAAACAATTTAAACGCTTTAGTGGCATCAGGACGATAGAATCCGCGCCTATATAGGGTTTCGCAAATTGGCTAACAGATTTGGAAGTCAGCGAAAATTAAAAGTGTATCCAGAAACCGTCCGCATGTCACTGAAAAGACAAGGCTACATATCATGGAAACCAAAAAAAAATCCCTGCAATAACACCTCTACAAAGGCAGCGAAGAATGGATTTTTGTCAGCGTTTTCAAGAAGATAATTTTAATAATATTTTTATTTCTGAGGAAAGTTGTTTCCAGCTTGGTGAAAACCACCTAAAAATCAGATCAAAAGAAAATGTTATCGTTCAAGTTTCAAAATTTCCCACTAAAATAATGGTTTGGGGAGCAATATCTCAGCGTGGTGCTACACCTCAGTGTATAACTGTTAATAGTGCAAAATACTGTGATATTTTAAATGGGTTTCTTCTTGAAACGGCTCATGTTTCATATCCAGAGGGATGGCGTTTTCAGCAGGATAATACAAGATGCCATAAGTCTGCCTATACTCAAGCTTGGATGCAAGATATTTGGCAACAATTCCATAGCCAGCAGCTTCACCAGATCTTAGTCCCATTGAAAACACATGGGGACTAATGAAGATTGAAGTGGCACGAGCAGCTCCACGAAATAAACAAGATTTGATTCGCTCAGTTTTACAGGCCTGGACTACCGCCACTGAACATTATGGTGTGGACCTAGTTTCGGGTGTACCTGGACGTTTAGTTAAGCGTTTGGAGTTAAATAGAGGTTGTATAAGTAAATAAAATTAATAATTTGTTATAATTTTTTTAACTCAAGTCCTAAAAATATATATCGATAATTGTAATTTTGCTTTCTTTTTTCCGGATACTTTCTAGACGGACTATATAAATATTCGATACTAACCACTTCATATCATCTTTCGTTTTGGCTCTACTATCCAACAAATTAAGAACGCCCTGTCTAGACGTATGCTTAGCTACATACAAAACGTAACTGCAAATAGAAACGGTGTATGTTGATTCTGACTCATCCATGTATCTCGTTATGTAGTCCAGTCCTTTATGAACTACGTTAGTATAATCGTCACTATAACTTCTCTGAAACCAAAAAAGATATTGATATTTATATCTAGTTTAACTAACTGATATATTTGAGATTAAAGATTAATAATTTAAATTCCTGTAAGTAGATTGAGACACAGTAAGACTTAGCATATGACTTGAAACAAAACTGATATGTAGAACCATTCTCGTTATTTTCTTATTTATCTACACTTCTATAACGTGTTATGAAGAAAATACAACAGTCGCAAGGTGACAAGTAAAATATATATTTGATTCAAAAAAATGATTTTCATAAAGAATAATCTGCCATATTGGGACACACATCAGATATAACATCAGAACTATCTTTACACTTAACAACTATAGTAGAATGAAAAGAGTAGCTCCACTTTACCAAATATTTTCTACCAGCCAACAAAATTCAGCAGAAAATAAAGATTGTAGGTGTAACAGTTTTATTTCAAATAAAACATTATCTATCGCCTTCAAACAAATGAACATATTAAACCTGGGCTTTATGCAAGCTGATGGCTTTTTTCCTTATGTCGTTTTCCGAATAAAGCAATTAATTTTGTTCTGAATCATACCTGATTTTCAATAAAGGCCAATAGAGTAAAAGCAGTTAATGCGAGACTATTTCCATCGGTGCTTTGCAAATCGTCATGTACTACAGTTCCGGTTTCGACAAAACTGCCGTTTGCATGTTGGTTACGTGCCAGCCATTCCAAAGCTTCGCTAATTATGTTATCGTCGACGTAAATAAATTCTTTGGCTTGTTTCAACGATAAAGCTACATAAGCGGTTAGCCTAAAAGTAAATAGAAAGATAAATCAAAAATATTTCAAACAATAGAATCCTAAGGGCTGGCAAAGGTTAGTCTTGGGTCGAGATTTCCGTATGTTAGAAGAGTATAATGCGTTTATAATGTACTCAACAAAGAGAGAACAGTAAACACGTTGCCAAACATACGAACTAAATCGAGAAACTGCGCATATTGCTAAGAGACGTAGAAGGGGATATAGCAGATTTGTCGCAGTCCACAGGTCGACACAATCAGTACAATACCTCTGTCAGTACTTAAAGTTCTAGGGAAAGGTATACATCATGCGTTCAGCTTCACGATTTAATTACGTCTCGCGATACTTTATTTGTTTATTTATTAACGAGTCGTTGTAATTTTCCCTATAGCTTGAAAAAATTTTAAGTGCAAGTTAAAAACACTTGCATTTTTGGTAAAAATAAGTGGAATTGAGTTGGTGTTCGACAGTAGTCGCGCTATTAGAACTCTGAATTCAAAATGAATCGATATCTTAAAATATATTAAAAATAATTGATTGTAGTTTTTTCAAAAACTTTCTTAACATTTCTGCTATATTTTCTCCGCAGACGGTATGTGAAAATCTTTATAAATAAAAAAGTTATACGATTGCTGAAAATTGCTATGTACTAAAAGTAAATGGATGGGTTGTTTGGTTTGATTGGTAAACCTTATCGAATTTTTCTTATTTAAACATATTGTAAAAGATCCGATCTTCAAAATAAAAAAAAGTTTCAATATCTAAAGTGGTTCTTAAGTTATGGCGTGTTATGTGTTAAAAAGTTGAGTTTTAAATTATCGCGATTACTGACGTTTTATCGTTATAAAAAAATTGACACCCTAACGATATTCTTATAATTCCATTTTAGATGCTCAGAAACATATCTAATGATTTTATGTAGTTATCTTTTAAAAAAAAGTCGTTTAAAAATAAGCGGTTTGCGATCGTGACTTTACTTTACTTGATAGGAAAAGGCGTACCGGCAACGCCGCAACAGCACACCGTCGCATTTCTCTCACTTAATAAGATCCCTATGCGATTTACTTCCACACATGTAAGTACCAGCCCAAAAGTAACAGTTGCCAGCACGGTATACAATATAACTCCAAGGTAAAATTTGCAAATAAACTTATAATATCGAATTATAATAATGACTCTTCTTATCTATTTCCTTATTAATAGGAAATATACCACTAATTTAGGAAAAATATTAATAATGTATTGTGCCCATTTTTCGTTTGGCTTGGAATTACTATATTATAATTGGCATTCTTTGCAATATAGGTATTTTTTGACATGTTAACAAAGTGCCAAACACTTTTTAATAGGTATTTAGGACATAGAAAAAAATCGAATATATTTTCATGTTTTTTTTATTTTCTTTAAAATGGTATGGAAATTTGGAAAAGTATAAACGGGATTGAAATTTTTATGAAGAGTGCATTTTTCTCAAAATATCAATAATGAAAAAGATTTTCCTCTTGTAAAGACAATCCGGGAACATACTGTATATAAAATACTTCAAAGCTTCAAAGTAAAAGACGATAAGTTTGTCATCTTATACTGACTATAGTCAGTGGTAACACTAACCAAATATTTCCAGAACTATCTCTTTCTCCAAATGGACTGAACGAACCATCATCTCGTTTGGAAGAAAGTTCCTTTTGGTAACTCTTCTCCAAGTTAGCTATAGCTTCGTTTTCTATGGTAGGTGTCAGTTGTTGAGTATTTTTCAAGTATTGCAATATTATTATGTTTGGCATTAAATGAACTAAATTTTGTTCGCTACATCCTGTTGGTAATCTTAAATAACAAAATGCATTAAGTAACATAAAATGTATTAATAAATCTATTATTGTTTGTACCTAATAAGGTTGTCTAAATGAATCATCGCAGTTCCTAGAAGGTTTCCTACCGTGGAAACTTCAATTTTCTCTGAATTTTCTATTACGTTCTTCGGAATAGTGAAATTAATGGATTTTTTAAACATACTGGTTTGTCGCATGTCGATTAAAACTGATTTGGAATAGTATTCAGTTTCTCCACCAAGCTTGAAAAGAATATGGATATTTTTATTTTATTAGTCTACTTTTTAAATAAATTATAAATTATTATAAATAAGTCAGTGCCTCACCCCTATAACTTTTTTATTTTTTTCAGATAAAAAAACGATATTTGGTATGTTAGTATATGACATAAATCAGGATTGATTGCCGTATTCAATTGCTTTCGGTCATATCCTGTTTCAACGGAAATGACTACAAATTTTGATTTTAAATGGCACTCTCGGTATTTTTTGATTTATTCGATAGAAAATGACACTCTGAATAGAATGACAAAATTTAATCGTATTTTAAATTTCAATCTAGAGTGCCACGGCTACTTTAAAAACACTAATTTTAAATCAAGGGGCCTTGGAAAATTAAATTTGATCGTGTAGCGTTTTTCGTGTCCTGGCCAGTTAAAAGATGCCCAATTTTTAATCATAACTCAATTTTTTCAAATGGAACAAAGGTGACTCATTAACATATTTGAAAAAGCAATTTTTACGAATAATTTGGTACCACTCACTTGGTATTTTGACTCAAATTGTCATTACATTTATGGTTATGGCACTCTCAATATTCTAAAAATGAAATTTAAAATGCTATTTTTTTAATTGAAAATGTCAAAAGTTTATATGTCTTTCTATTCTGAATGTCATTTTCTAGCAAATGAAGTAAAAAAATACCAACGGTGTCATTTGAAAATCAGAAGTTGTAGTCGTTTCCAATGAAATAGGAAGTGACCGAAAATAATTATACCTAATCTCGTTTCTTTTATCTGAATAAATAAAAAAGTTATAAGAGTGAGTCATTTTTGAGGAATACCCGGTATAAATAAATAAATATAAAAAATATTTTATTTTATTAATTTAATTAAAAAGAAAATTAAACAGACTCTTGATAGTCAGTTATTTTCTAGCCTTTGTGGTAGTGGAACTCCATAACTGTGGCATTAGATAATCGTAGCTAAGATTTCGATAGATAACATCTTTGGATAACATTCAAAATAATAAACAATATATCAATATCTTAAAATGACAGAGACCAACTGTCACTGTCAGCAGCTATCCCCCATTGTAAACTTTGATAACAAATTTAGTTCAAATATCTGGTTCGTATTTAATAAAGTTCGAATACCATTAACAATCTTATTTTGAAAATTTCTATGTTCTGAAATTTTAAAATTAGTCTTTCTATTGACTGTTAAAATCCTCTTACTGTACAATGGACCATTCTTAATTTTTTTAATAAATCAAAAAGAAATAAATGTTTAATAATTAGCATATTTTATCAAACAAATCTAATGTCTAATATTATTACCACTTACATCAACATGTAGGTGTTGTATAGCTATATCTTGGCTTCTTGGATTGTTTCCAGTAACTTTGATTTCTACTGAGCCTGCCTTTAAAGGCCTGATCATGAAAGACACAGCTGCTCCAGAATTTTTACCAACGTTTACTTTCTTCCTGCGATATAGCTCGATCTCTGGAATAATAAGGTGGAAATTAATTATTTTTCTTCTTAATTTAGCACTTTATATTTATATTAACCTATAGCTTGCTATAGCATAAATCATTAAATACAGTTGTTTATGAAGATTTTTGAATTTTTATTCGCACCACACATTCCCATATTAGTCCGGCAGCAGAACCCGGATTTTTCCCTGAAGTGCCAATTGTGGGATTAAGTTTTTTTTAAGACCGATTATTATAGATCTATATGTCTATTTTCCATATCCGGCTGATGACAAGCTGTCACCCTTGGAAAAATCCAGATATACAGGGTGTCCCAAAATATAAAACATAAAAATGTATTCGATAAGTTTTTAAGCTTTAGGCCTTAATTTTTGTGTGGGTTGGTCAATTTATTGTATTTATACTAAATATAGGCTTACTTTTAAAGTATAAAAATAATAATCATTATTAATTGCAATAAACAGGGTTATTAAAAAAAATAAAATTTATACCTACATTTTTCCGATTAATATTTTTCTTGTTTTTAGAACTTTGTATCTTAAATTTAATTCAACAATCGTTATTGGTATTAATAATTTTAGGTTAAGCTTCGAAGGTCTTTGAATTACCGATGATTTAGTGTTTCCATTTCAATGATTCTGTGAAATTTTTAACACACATTTTTAATAATTTAGAATAAAGCAATAACATGGAGTTAATGAAACCTCAAGAAAAATGTTAGCATAGAAATATAAGACTTTTCATTACAGTTGCTGATACTTTTAGTTTGTAACCTAAAGTATCAGTAAAAAAAATAATATAAATATCATAAACATTTTCATTAAGGCTCCATTAACTCAATTTTATTACTTACATAATTATGTTATACTAAATATATCTTTTTCAGGGTGATGAAAGAAAATGCTTAGTTTACCGATATCAGTGTCCTTTATTAAAGCCTAATAATTTAAAAGCCCTGCAGTTCGCAGTTGCAAGCTGTAGTTGGCCGTTCCAAGTTCATGAAATTTTAAATCTGATGGAACGGCCGACTGCGACTACTGACTGCAAAATGCAGAGCTTATAATTTAGACTTAAAGGTCTATCCCAAGGCAGAAAGATAACAGTGATTTCTCTTTCAGATTAAAATTTGATTGTAACAATAATACCTTGTTAAACATGAGTGAAAAATATTTTTTTGACTGGAAATTTTCCTGTCAGAAGAAAAGTGAAAAATGTTCAGTTGCTGGTGCACAACGCATAGAAACTATTATAAAGTATAGCAAAGTGTATCAAGATGGTAAATGTGAAGAATTGGAAGAGAAGATCACTACGGACAAGGATTTTCGTTTACCATGTCACAGAGGTTGCGTTTCGACATACACATCCAAAACACATTTGTAATGGGCCTTATCCCCGGACAATGCTATTTTCAAGTAAGAAAATGTAGCGACGTTCAGAAGTGCCAATAATCTTTATCTTCAAAGAAAACTGTTTGTTAGAACCTAATCCGGCCAAACCTACAACCGACAGACTATGGATTTTTCAAAGATGCCAACGGAAAGCGTTTGTTACCATTCACCCTACCAGAAAGGGTCGAGATGGCACCTTCCGATATATTACAATTAATTCGTTGCTCTTGTTCAAGTGCCAGTCCGTGTAGTACAAAAATATGTGGCTGTAAAAGTGCTAGATTGCCTTACACAATGTTTTGTATGTACCACGGGAACGAACATTGTTGCAACGAACTGACCCGCGCTGTACCGGCTATGATAATGAGGATGAAGATGTTGTGGTTTCCGATAAAGAAGTTGATTCTGAGGTTGATAGCGACTGATAAACTTTAATGTTTTATGATATGCGTGTTTAAAATATTTAGCCTAGTCCTTCAACGGAAGTATTGCTATTTTTTGATATACCCTGTATAAAAAATGTGTTTGATATTTTTTTACTCATACATTAGGTATATACATACCAGCACATACATAAGTATACAAAATGCAAAAATTTAATTTTTCGCTTTACCTTCAATTAACGTGAAAATATAATATGTTTTTTTTAAATCACCCTGTATATAAGATGTTTCGTTATCACTTATACCTATGAAAAAACCTACATTATTAAATAAATCAATGTAAAACACATATTTTCACGTTAAAAGCACAAAACAACTCGAATAACACTCGATTTCACATAATTGATAATGAATCACCCTGTATCTTAATTTCCAAAAGATGCCACTTTGTCATCACTCGGATATCAAAAGTAGAAAACCTATAGATGATAAATCCGTTTTCAAAAAAACTTAATCCCAAAATTTTGGGTTTACCCCAGAGTGGCTGCCGGACTATAATAAAAATATGTGGTTTGGTTTGACTTCCTATAATTTTATTCAAAGCACCACATATTAAAAAAATGTGTTGCTGTGTATAAGGTCACATTAAAACGGTCACATATACAGAAAATGGAAAAACTGTTTTTGCGTCACTGGTTTTAATTCAAATAAATATTTTAATTTAAATAAATATTTTGCTTCAAATGGATCAATATCTATTGTGTTAATCAATGTTATGGAAAAAAACTATTGGTCGGATTGATGAGGTGGGTACCTAGTAAGGAGAAGTGTACGAAATGACAAAGAGATAAAGCAAAATGAAACTAAATTTTCGAAAATAAAATGTATCATTGATTGTGAGGTCGAAAACTGTTTTAGACCACTCTGGTATCAACAATTATTTTCTGAAGTAAAAAGAAGTACGAGTTTTTACTCATTGGTGACTTACTTTTAGTATAATTCAGATCATTAGACACCTCGGCAAACTCGAAATTCTGTTCCGTATTGTGCAACGTCACTTCAGCAGTTATATCTTGAGCCATATTATTGTACACGACAACCGGAACAGCAAGGATTTCCCCTTTCTGGACAGAATACGGCAAATCCAACGACACCACAAACGACTTGGATACTTTAAGCTTCTTCGGTTGCGTCATCAAGGCCAACCCCCTGATTGGATCAAGCGAGAATCCGCTTATCAGCCAGTTGGTTAGGGTTGGAGGAAGTTTTCTTCTGATCGAGCTTTTGCCCTCGTAACCTGACGAGAAATTGGTGAACATCCAAGTAGGTGCGATGTCCTCGGTGAGGTAGACTTTCGGCTTGTTCCAAACAGGTTTGGGAATGCGACTGAAAGCGTAAGGGCCTGCTAATGGTGGTCTGGTGACGGAATGTAATGGAACGCCGAAGCCTCTGTCCGGTTTAACAGTGGATGAGCCGTAGAATACTGGTCGTAGGTAAATATCCTCCACTGAAATTTACCCTTCTCAATAATGATTTTTTTAATTGTTATTATTATTACTTACGTGATGGTTTATGCCGGTTGATATGAGCGTTTGTTAATAAGTCTGCTCCAGCATCCTAAAAAAAAGTATAAAGTTATGGATTTCATGAGTCCTTAATGTTAACACACGATAAAAATACTTATAGTATATATTTTGATGTGTATTAATAATAATCTAAATAATTCTTCAGCTAAATTTGTTCGATAGAATTCTGTCGTATATACATTTTGAGAACTTTCTAGAGACGTAGATATGTCTATAGAAAGCCTATAAAGTGGTAGGAGTCAATCAGTTCTTAAATGATGTGCACTATGTGTACACTATGTACGCATATCTATCTTATGTGTGCTCTATGTGCGCATATTTGACTCCATTCAGGTACCTCTATGGTAAACTTGGTTCCAATCGACCTATAATTAAAGAAAGTCCTAATGATTTCTTTCCTTAACGTCGAGGGCGTAATTCTACAATTACGGACAGGTTAAGACGGTCCGCCCAGCCCGTCCCCAATTATGCCGAAATCGACCTACATTTTTATTCAATATCAAATCCTTAGTCCCACTCTGATGAAGATGTAAACGAAAAGTCGTATCAATCTTTGCAAGGTGGAACTGTGTGCACCGTCGCTCACATAGCCTACCTACCAAATTTAGTCGCGATCGGACGACATCAACTTTTAACGTTTCCTAAGTCAAAATTAACTGTCAGAGTGACACGTGTCGTACACGGTCAAGTTGGCCTTGATCCAATCTGCCACCGACATACCAAATTCCCTTTAAATGGGACGATTTTTTTATTTGAGTCATTGATGATGGGGTTTCGTAGTGCACGAAACATCGTCAAAATATCATGAAAAGTTACTACATTTCGAGTTTCAGCCTCCTAACTCACATAGGGCTTGAGTTACGACGCTCCATAGACACATTAAATCGGACGATTTTTTCGCCATTGATGATGGAGTTTCATAGTGCGTCGTTTCAAACGTCATCAAAATATCATGAAAAGATAGATTTCGAGTTTTAGCCCTCTAGCTCACATAGGGCCCAAGTTACGACGCTCCGTCTTAACCTCTGATCGTTACCACTTTTCTTGACGCATCTCGCGTGTCATGTGTGTTGAATTTTTACTCCCATCGCGCGTAAAGATGTTTCATCAAAAAAAGTTTCACTTCAAAAACATTATTTTTTCAATATTTGGCATTTTGGCACACAAGATTAATAAATTATTCAAAATTTTGAAACTTACATATACGGCTGCATGGGGATTGCTAGCACCTGGTTTCCACACAAAGGGTTTATTCGATTCGCGGGATATCAAAGCGTACGGGGAAGGAGCGGCAATATCATATCTCTGCAGCTCTTCTGCGACATCTTGCGGTGTGATATCGTAACCTGGACGAAGGGAGAAGACATTCTCGTCCACGGCCATCAGACCGATGTAAGAATTTTGACGGGCGCGAACTGTCAGTTCAACGTCGAGTTCGGGTTCGGTTTCATCTGTGTTGATATCAATATTGATCTAAAATTAAAAGCCAAAAATATTAATAGTTATTTATGTATACAGGGTGGTCCGAACTGTATTCCGGAGACTTCGGCAGCATATTCTACTGATAAAGTAAGTAAAAAAGTTCGTCTAAATGTATGTCCTAAAATGGGGGTCTGGGGCGCCACCTACATATTTTTTACGATGTACTTAAACAGCCGTTAAACGGTAGCCTACTAATGGTCCGTGGTTCAAATCTCACGCCGACCAAGACTTTTTTATATTTTTTTTTGCTTATAGCGTGATCTTATTGCATTGGTTTCACTCTTTTTAGTTGGATTGGTTTAGTTATTTGGCGGGTTGATTAGCGTGGTTATTTGGAGGGTGTTAATTCATTGATTAGTTGGTTATTTGGTGGGGTTGGTTGATTTTTACTAATTTATATTTGTTTTTTATATTTTTTATCAGTGTCGAGGTTAGTTGCGTTGGTTAAGTTGGTTATTTGGTGGGATGGACAGCGTTGGTTAGTCCTTATAAAATTTCTATATTTCATAAAGTCGTCAAGTGCGTCACATCAACGACGTCATACCTATTAACGGCATTTTAGTAAGCTACCGTTTAACGGCAGTTTAAGTACAGCCTATTTTTTAACTGGTTTGAAGAGTAATAACTTTTCATCCATACCTGTATAAAACTACTGAGTAAAAAATATACATTTACGATGGTTTTAAGTAGAAAAGGTCTCTTGGTAAAAATCGCTACGAGTAATGGTTCTCGAGGTATTTGGATTCGAAATTAACAATGCCTCTCGTCATTGACATAAAATAAATATGTTGACTAAATAGTTATTAGACTGAAATCATAAATTTATAATGTTTTTGTAGCAAAAGTTCAGAAGAAACTGTTTTATTAACATTTTTTCGAAGAAAAATTTATGATTAATATAAAAAAATAAAAAGTTCACAAATTTACCATTTCAATCAAATAACTATCTACTCGACATGTTTATTCTTTGTCAATAATGACATGTATTGACGGTTGCTCGTAGCGATTTTTACCAAGAGACATTTTTTACATAAAATGCTTTAAATATTACAAAAATGTATATTTTTTTACCCTGTAATTTTGTACAGGTACGTACGAAAAGATATTACTCTTCAAAAAAGTTAAAACACATGTATGTGGCGCCCCCTACAAATAAGAGTCATATTGACACCAAAATAATCAAATTTCTCATGTCAAAAAATTCCCAGACACCAATTTTCATCAAATATTGACATTATTTCAGGAATTATTTGGAAAAAATCGAAATAAATATGAAACTTCTACGAAATCTCCGAAACTAAGCATTTTAGGACATACATTTATACGAAATGTTAACTGTATATCAAGGGAATTATAAGAATGTTAATGACCGAGGGAAAAATTTCTGTCCCGAGGACCTGTGGCCCGACAATCATTATATCACTGCCAAATACTATTATTAGACAACTGCTAAACACTATTAATTACTTACAAAGTTATCGAAAAGTCCTTCCACTACTACATCAACTACATCTCCTACTAACTCCCCATCTTCCTTTATGTAGTAAACGAATAAGTGCGAAACAGGTACCATGGCATGAACAGCAGTAAAATGGAATCTAAACACTTTCTGATTGTCTATTTGAAAAGTATTTGTTAAAAGGACATCACCTATAATTAAAGAAAATAACATGTTATGTAAATACTCGAATATTTATTAATTTAAAAACATCTATTTTACTTTCTTATTTGGTTAAGTATCTAAATATGATCACTAAATTTTGGAGTAGTTTTTGAAAATTGACAATTTTTATAGTAATATATTTCTGCCATTTAAAGTTCTTTCAAAATTCAAATACTTTATATTTTTTAATCATAAATGTTATAAAATAATACTATTTTCAAAATTAAGTATACTCAATAATATACTATAATGCACTTACAGTAACAGAGTAAGTCAAAACAAAATATTTTTCTCCAGTATATCAAATGGAACCTCTTACATTTTATAGCACAAATGAATGCAGTTCCAACTTTATATTTTGATAAATTATTTTTAGTTACAAGATTTATATGTATGTCCCGATTTTTAGTTGGATAAAATCTGTTTGTATTTTTAGATAAAACAGTGTATAGGCGTTTCCATTTGAAATATGAATTTTCATTTGAAGCAGCGGCGTGCGGTCCATGGAAGCGGAAGAAGCACCGCTTCCCTAAACTTTTTGAAGATAAAAAAAATGAATAGTTAAACATTAATAATACTGTTATTTTATAACAAAAAATTAATTTAATTTGTTAAAATTATTTATTTGAAACCTTACATAAACGTACTAAATTTAATTAGCCTTTTACTGCATGGATGCGCGCCTGGAAATCTCCGCCGGTCGCCTATCCCTCCTTCATGTAGGTGTTATTGACCTCGAACGCAAACGACAAATTTAAGCCGGAAAATCGCGCACAGTTGCTATCCACGGCAGCGATCTTTCGGCCGCCTTCCTCGACTTTTAATTTATTGGGACGGGTTCGCTTGATTTTATAGGTAAAATTGTATTTTTTTCGGATTTAACTTAGTGTTTACTGTTTCGTTTGTAATGGAGGGCCAAGAAGGACAATTTTCTGCTTCTGCTAGTGCGGACAATAATTTAGACTGTGTTTGTCTTGTATGTGTGTTATTAAAAAAGGGATTTTTTCTAGTCGGAACTTTCAAGAAAAAAGTGACATTATTAAGTCTGGTAGGCCAACGGTTCCTATCAATTTGGAGACCAACGTGGAGAAGTCGGTAAAAAATTCACTAGACATTTTCATGTTGGGTTTTACGACAAATATGAGTGGTTAACCGGCTGCAATAAATTAACCAAACCAAACCAAATTATTTTGTTGGCCCTGTTTACTTTTTAATATAAGTGAGAAGACTAACTGGAACGTAGCCGCGATTACAGATTTAAGTAATTTTCACAAAAATATAAAAAGGTATGTCAACTAAAGGACACTTAACTGCTACTATAAAAGAAAAAACTTTTGGAACAATTCGAATTGAACATAGTTTGGATAATCAATTAAAAATTAGTAGCAAACTGCATAATAAACGGGTCAAAAAAAGTCAAGTGCTTCGGGCCAAGTGCTTCGGAAAATTAATTTAAAATATCGTATTTTAACTATTATAACTTTATGTGTTTTTGTTTGTTTAATAATTTTCGATAGAATTTTAATCGAACAATGGAATTGGCCTCGGAATTTTCAAAGGTAAGTTTTTTAAGAAAATGTAAAAGTAATGTCTCGAAATAGGGTTTTTTACCGATTCGCTTCCCCGCCTATAATGCTCACCGCACGCCGCTGATTTGAAGTAAAAAACGTATATGGTTTTGAGTTACCCTGTATACAGTATATCCGCGAATTTTCTTTACAAGAGGAAAAACTTTTTTTTATTATATTGACATTTTGAGAAACTTTTGTTTGTTCTAAAGCTTGATTTTCATGCATCCGTTATCCGACGATACGATGATACGATATTAATTTTATTGGTTGAATTTAAAGACTTCGATTGGTTAGAATCGGTTAACCAATCGAAGTCTTAAAATTCAACCAATAAAATCGTATCATCGTATCGTCGGACAACGGATGCATGAAAATCAAGCTTAAATCGTTAAGTCCTAAAAACAAAAAACGCGTTTCTGTGGTAGTAGAATTTCATTTTCATTCTTAATTAACGTTAATTAACGTCACATTTCTTGCTGTTTTAAAATGTCAAAGAAGCACAAAATTTATTTAATTCAATGCTACGGAAAGGGTGATTCAAATGGTAGAAAAAAAAGAAAATTCAACAATATTTTCATATTTTTTTTTCCATAACGGTATGGAAATTTGAAAAACTATAAAAGGGGTTACACATTTTGAACAAGCAATTTTTTTATGAAGAATACATTTTTAAAAGTCAATATTAAAAAAGGTTTTTCTCTTGTAAAAATAATCCGAGGACATACTGTATAGCAAAGCAATTTTCATCAATTTCAGCATAAAGATACTTCCAGTTAAAGCCGTCAAGGCAAATGACGATTCTTAAATTTTAATAAAATATCGCTGTAAGAAAAGCAATGGATAACACTAATAAAATATTAATAACTAACTAATAATTAATAATACCTAATAATAATTAATAACTACCTAATAACCTAACCAACCAACAACAAGACAAATACAAATTTGTAGATTTTTTACAGCTTTTCTAAAACAAAATGCATAAATGCTTCAAAATATAAAAAATATAAAATCAAGTCGATGAAAAAATGTCGATATCTATATACAGGGTCTAGTATAGGAGCTGGCAAACATTGAGGTGAACGATATTTATCAAAATTTTCACCTACATGGTCTAATTATACATGGTATAGACAAATTAAAATCGACCATCTGCCGTTTCAAAGTGGCAGCTTTAACTAGGGGGATGCAGTTAAAAAAGGGTGGTTTTAAGATTTGGTAAACAATATTGATTAAAACTCATATTCACTCACCTAAAGAAACAACTTAAGAATGTGCCGAAATCACGTGAGCAGACGATTTATTTGACAGCTTAACCCTGGCAGACGCCTGTCAAAGTGGCATATTTTGCGGTAAAGTGAACGACAGTTATTATACATTAATTTTGGTGGATGTATTCCCCTATTAGTAGGTTAACTAAAAACCATATGGCAGACGAAATATTTGACAGTGTTTCTGTGGCAGACACTGTCAAAGTGCTCACTCTTAGTAAAAGCGCTCACTCTTAGTAAACAATATTTATAATCGCTTAAATTGGTAAAATAAGATAAAGTACAAGGGTATTTTTTAAATTTAAGAAAGCAGACGACCTATGTGACAGCTTAACTTTGGCAGACGCTTGTCAAAGTGACATATTCTACGATAAAGTGAACGAAAAGTATTACATATTAATTTTGGTGTGTGTATTCTCTTATTAGTACGTTAACTAAAAACCATATGGCAGACGAAATATTTGACAGCGTTTCTGTGGCAGACGCTGTCAAAGTGACAAGTTCACTCTTATTGATAAAAAATTAAAACTACTCAAATTGGTGAACTAAATATTAAACAACTTTGGTAAATGACATTTAAACATTTTTATTGAAAAATAGGTTTGGTGTAAAATAAAAGTAAAAGTAAAATAAATAATTATTCTTTAACTAACATAAAACAGGATTTTTAAACCTTAATAAAATCAGTCTCTCGTTTGTATTCATTAACAAAACCTAAGAATACTTCAACAAACCTAAAACTATTATTAAAAAAATATATAAAAAGAATATATGCTATAAATGCGAATCTAGTTCCCCAAGCACATTTCTTAAAACTATAAAATACTTAGGATTTTAAAACATCACAAAGTCTCCCATTTTTATTATTTTACAAATAAGTAACCTAAATAAAAGAGAGAACTTCAACAAATCAACAATCCAGCATCATTCTAAAAAAAACATTTCTTAAAACTATAAAACAGGATTTTAAAATATTGCAAGTCAGCCTCCCATTTTTATTCTTTCACAAATAACCTTTCGCAACCTAAATAAGAGGGAGGGAACTTTAACAAATCTTAACGTATTTATCTAAACAAAAATAAAACAAAAAAATATATCCCCTATGAATGAATCTAGTTCAAACATCGTCTCCAAAAAAATATTCCTTAAAACCTTAAAGCAGGATATGTAGTTATATCGAAGACTAATAAGTTCCCAAAAACTTGTTGCAAAATTTCAAAATACAAAATATGTCGTTATTTATACCTCTAAGAAATCACCCTCCTCGTCATTTGATTCAATCAAAATTGCGTCAGCGTCCCCGTCGTCGTCACTTTCGTTAGTTAAATCAGATTTATGTAAAATATCATCAAGTTGAACGGGCGTTTGATGCCCTTCAAACCACAATATATCGAATTTATTTTCCTTCAATATCCAACCATTATTTAGTCGATCGTAAAATTTTGTAAAAGCTTTGGTTGCATTCGTCCAAATTGCAGCAATTTGGTTGGTCCTTCGAATTTTTTGCAATAATACTGATTTGCAGGGGGGAAAGTTTTGAGCATTAAAATGTTACTTTAATAAAACTGGATTTTTTTCTGATATGCATCCATAAGTTTTAATAAAATATTCCATTCTGGCCTTATCTATATCCTTTAAATTTGGTTTTCAGTATAATTTGCAAACATAGCCTTCCAGAGTATTTAGTGTTTCCTGAGGGATGTCTTTAAATGGCTTTGACCCCAATGACGCAAAAGCAGCTTGAGTTTGATTGCTATATATTTTTTAATATTGCAAAAGGTTTCTTTTTTCCTTTGTCATAAAATGAGGCTTCGTAATCACAACCACTAAATGCATGGAATGCTGGTAGTGCTTGGCTAAGAGTTGATCCTAAAGAGCCCTGTATCTTTGTAAGATTAATATATCTTAACGAATTATTCGAAATTTGACCAGTTTCCATCCAAACAAGCTTATTTCTTTTTTAAATTGGTCAACATGCGCTAATGCAATAACTGCAATATCTGTATCTGAAGTTCGTATAACTATATTTTTGCAAACAGTTTTTGTTATATGAAACAACATTTTAGTATCGGCCTCTTCATGCTCACAATAGTATTCTTGTGCTATTTCCTTAATAACATATTCGTTTTTCTGATAAAATTTATAGCAATGATTATCAATTGTTACATAATATGTAACTATATTATATAGATTTATCATTAATTATAGGGTAATAACAGTTATTTTTCCCACTCTTCAACAAGATATGTCACAAGCGCTCCTTTGAAGTTATCCTGCCTCAAAGATGCTAAGAAATTAGAAGGCCGTTTTTGGTTAGGTCCATTGATAACAAAGTTTTCTTCTCGAAAAACTGAGGTAGCCGTTCAATATCTTTCAAAGAAGGTGTTACGATTTTATCAAAAACCTCGTCAAAAACTAAATGCAGCTCATTTCCTTGTAAAGCACACAATTTAGCTAAAATAAATCTAGCTAGAGCCTGAAATGTTGTAGGAGGTTCCTTGAGGAGATGTAAAGAAAAGAATCCGTCAACAATAATTGAACCAATCAAAGGCGTATCTTCGGGATTCGTATCAAAGCTTTCTATAATGTGTAATAGATTTGCTTTTTTGTCTGGCGTGAAAGGGTAACTAAGAACCAGCTCAAGATCGATTTTATTATCAATTGAAAGCAATAACATCCTGCTAAATAAGTCTCTTTCCAGTTTTAATTCACAAATGGAATTTTTTTGACGAAGCGTATATTTTACCCCTTCGTTTGCGAAGGTTTTGATTTGATTTTTTTTGATCGGCTTCTCAAGTCTCGTGATGTCGATGGCACATTCTTCTACAAATTTAGAGCGAGAATTATTTCCATTTTCTAAAATATTTAACAAAAACTCTTCAGTCTTTATGTCAGCAGCTTTTCCGGTTGCAATGTTAAAGAGATGGTCGTTATCAAAATTTTTAAAACAACCATTCATAAATTCTCTCTTAAAGTTGGGATATTTATTTTCGAATTTCAGAAGATTGTCGTGAAACTTTATTGTCCACCTAGAATAATTAGGCTGATTAAATACAAAGAAAATAGATGATATTTTAAATAAAATCGATCTATATGGCTCAAAAGTCCTAATGCTTCTGGAAAAGTCAAAAAAAATCTGTATGAGATGCATATAGGTATACCAAAATTGCGCTGCTTTTCCATATTTACCATTTAATGTTTCTCCACAGTATTTATTGTATTGTTCTAAAATATATTCCAGTTGTGGTGAGAAATTTTCACGGTTATTTATTGTTTTCTGAATGTCGTCAAGTTGATCAATAATTTCATCAGATATAATATTGTCTCTAAATCATGGTTGGATACTGAATGAAAATAAATTCGATATATTGTGGTTTGAAGGGCCTCAAACGCCCGTTCAACTTGGTGATATTTTGCATAAATCTTATTTAACTAACCAAAGTGACGAGGACGGGGACGCCGACGCAATATTGGTTGAATTAAGTGACGACGATGGTGATATCTTAGATAACGACTTATTTTGTATTTTGAAATTTTTCAACAAGTTTTTGGGAACTTATTAGTCTTTGATATAACTACATATCCTGCTTTAAGGTTTTAAGAAATATTTTTTTGGAAACGATGTTTGAACTAGATTCATTTGTAGGAGATATTTTTTTGTTTTATTTTTGTTTAGATAAATACGTTAAGATTTATTAAAGTTCTCCCCCTCTTATTTAGGTTACTTATTTGTGAAAGAATAAAAATGGGAGGCTGATTTGCAATATTTTAAAATCCTGTTTTATAGTTTTAAGAAATGTTTTTTAGAATGATGCTGGATTGTTGATTTGTTGAAGGGAATACACACACCAAAATTAATGTGTAATACTTTTCGTTCACTTTATCGTAAAATATGTCACTTTGACAAGGGTCTGTCAAAGTTGAGCTGTCACATAGGTCGTCTGCTTTCTTAAATTTAAAAAATACCCTTGTACTTTATGTTATTTTACCAATTTAAGCGATTATAAATATTGTTTACTAAGAGTGAGCTTGTCACTTTGACAGCGTCTGCCACATAAACGCTGTCAAATATTTCGTCTGCCATATGGTTTTTAGTTAACCTACTAATAGGGGAATACATCCACCAAAATTAATGTGTAATAATTGTCTTTCACTTTACCGTAAAATATGCCACTTTGACAGGCGTCTGCCAGGGTTAAGCTGTCAAATAAATCGTCTGCTCACGTGATTTCGGCACATTCTTAAGTTGCTTCTTTAAGTAAGTGAATATGATTTTGATCAATATTGTTCACCAAATCTTAAAACCACCCTTTTTTAACTGCATCCCCCTAGTTAAAGCTGCCACTTTGAAACGGCAGACGGTCGATTTTAATTTGTCTATACCATGTATAATTAGACCATGTAGGTGAAAATTTTGATAAATATCGTTCACCTCAATGTTTGCCAGCTCCTATACTAGTCCGGCAATAGTGCGTCGGCCATCTGTAGCTCCTAGAATAAAAAACTTGAGAATTTTGTTTAAGTGCAAACCTAAAGTATGTACCAGGATGTATTTCAGGAAAATATTTTAACTTCTATAGGGTGGCTCAAAAACCTGAACACCCTGTTTATTTTTGCATTTTTGGCTTTCTTTTCGATCACTTTACATAACCCTAAGATATGAATAAATACATTTCGATAGTTTCAGAGATATTAAAAAATAAATCAAAAATATATATTTTTCAGCCCTTCTTAAAAAAATTATTAAAAATACAAGAACTGTTCTGAAATGAAAACTATATTAGGTATTTACTTTAGATAGTCTGTACATACTTTGCTCTAAATATGAATATCGTAAATTATACAGGATGTTCAAAATTCTACGCCAAACTTTCTAAAATATAAAATAATTTTTGTTCGTTTTTTTAAATGGAACACCCTGTATATTATTTTTCAATAGACGGAGAATTAAAAAATGAACATTTTTTGTATTTACAGTATTTCAAAATTTTTAACGGTTTCGCAGATATTTGCGGTTTTATTTCATATGGCATTTTCCACAGTAAATTTTTATCAAAGCCACCCAATGATTTTTCTCTCGTATTTTACCATTGAAAGCGCCATATGAAATAATACTGCGTGTATCTGCGAAACCGTTAAGAATTTTGAAATACTCTAAATACAAAAAATGTTCATTTTAAACTCTCCATCTAATAAAAAATAATATACAGGGTGTTCCATTTAAAAAAAAACAAAAAATTATTTTATATTTTAGAAAGTTTGGCGTAAATTTTGAACATCTGTATAATTTTATATTCATATTATAGCAAAATAAGTACAGACTATCTAAAGTAAATACCTAATATAGTTTTGATTTCAGAACATTTCTTGTATTTTTAATAATTTTTTTAAGAAGGGCTGAAAAATATATATTTTTGATTTATTTTTTAATATCTCTGAAACTATCGAAATATATTTATTTATATCTTAGGTGTATGTAAAGTGATCTGAAAGGAATCCAAAAATGCAATAATATACAGGGTGTTCCATTTAAAAAAAATCATCCACGTCCACCCACACTTTTTTGAGCCACCCTATAGAAGTTAAAATATTTTCATGAAATACATCCTGGTACATACTTTAGGTTTGCACTAAAACAAAATTCTGAAATATTTTATTCTATGAGCTACAGATGCCCGACGCACTATTGCCGGACCCTGTATAGTTACGGACAACTCGAACTATGTCACAATATAACAAAATGACAAACAAAAAAAAACAAAATTTCTTTTCAACCAAATAATATCCTTTCTGATTAGTCTTACCTCGAGCTAGTAACACATAGTTGATGTACTTCATTGGTTCGGTACAGTTCACAATAACGTCGACGTCCAAATTGACAATGCGTTTTTCCGTTTCCAAATTGACTTGCAAGTAGGTGTTTCCGTAAGATACTGCAGCCGGAATTGGTGAAATCCTTTCCTTCAAGTCTTTGTACTCGGCCTGAAAATAACAGTTTATACTTAATCAGTTTTTTCGCTGATCATTCAACATTAATTACTTGCTTTAACAACTCCTATTACTACTATATTAACAAGGTAATCAAAAATAAGTTGTTTAAGTACACAAGTTGTAACTGAAATAAATAAGTGCAAGTATTTTAACAATGTACAGGGTGATTCAAAAATATGTGCCATATCTCGAGGGGAGATCCCTCAAGTAAAAATAAGATTTATTTTTTATATCGACGTAGGTCCGATTCTGCTTGGTTTCGTACTTACAGAAGGTTAAAATCTTCATTTTTTTCGGTCTGTCAGAATTTTCTTCCAAGTGCTTTTAGCGAATCGAATAAAATTTGAAGTGCAAAAGTTACTATAAGTAAGTGCTACATTTTTTTTTGTGGTAAAAAAGTGTCGACAGGTTCACCAGGGACGTGCATACGGGTTATCACTGAAATATTTTTCTACACTTTTTCTTTTGTTGGCGAAATTGTATAGGCCGTTTAATGTCGATTAAAGATTGCCTCTTGATATTTTAGTGATTATTAATAAGTGTGCTTAATAAAATTTCGGTTATCTGATCAAGGAGATCTAAATCAACAAAATATCAAGAGACAACTTTTAATCGGCATTAAACGGCCTACACGATTTCCTAACAAGAGAAAAAGTCAGTGGCGCACATGTCGTTTTAAGAAAAGTATTTCAATCCCCAGTATATCAATAAATGATAATATAAACATTTTTTTTACCTCTATTCTAAGTGCTGTCGTATTAGTTACATCGGAAGGTGTAGCATATTCCAGTTTTAACACACCATTTTTATCCAGCCTCTGAGTTTTCTCTTCATAAATTTCGTCTCTTCTAGAATACCCATGCCGAATTACCACATCTCTTTCGTCATCTCTCAGTGGAGTACCGTCGTGATTACTCACTTTTACCTAAAAAATAATTTCAGCAGTTGTTAGCTTACTACTTATTTTTATGAATATCTTACGACTACCACTACTTAATAATATACAGGGTCCGGCAATAGTGCGTCGGGTATCTGTAGCTCCTAGAATAAAAAACTTGGAAATTTTGTTTAAGTGTAAACCTAAAGTATGTACAAGGATGTATTTCAGGAAAATATTTTTACTTCTACAGGGTGGCTCAAAAACGTGTGAGTGGACCGAGATTATTTTTTTAATGGATAACCCTGTATATTATTGCATTTTTAGCTTCCTTTCAGATCACTTTACATAATCCAAAAATATGACTAAATATTTTTCGATAGTTTCAGAGATATTAATAAATAAATAAAAAATGTATATTTTCAGCCTTTCTTAAAAAAATATTAAAAATACAAGAACTCTCCTGAAATCAAAACTATATTAGGTATTTACTTTAGATGGTCTAAACTTACTTTGCTATAAATATCGTAATCGCAAATCATACAGGATGTTCAAAATTCTACGCCAAACTTCTAAAATATAAAATAATTATTCTTTGTTTTATTTAGAATGGAACGCCCTGTATATTATTTTTTTATTAGATGGAAAATTAAAATGAACATTTTTTATATTTAAACTATATCAAAATTTTTAATGGTACACACAGTATTATTTCAAATGGCTCTCTCAAAGGTAAAATACGAGAGAAAAATTATTGGGAGATTTTGATAAAAATTTACTGTGGAAAATGCCATATGAAATACAAAACCGCAAATATCTGCTGAAAAGTATATATATTTTATTTATTTATTAATGTCTCTGAAAAAATATCCTAGGATTATGTAAAGTGGTCTGAAAGGCAGTCAACAAAGCAATAATATATGGGGTGTTCCATTTAAAAAAAAATCTTCCAAATCCACTAATACTTTTTTAAGCCTCCCTACAGAAGTTAAAATATTTTCCTGAATACTTTAGGTTTGCATTTTACAAAATTTTCAAGTATTCTATTCTAGGAGCTACAGATGCCCGACGCACTATTGTCGGATATGGTATTATTTTAAATGCATATACTAACATAAGCGGTATATTTTAGTCCTGGTTGAAAGTAATCCGCCGTCTTAATCAAATCCATTTTATACTTATACTTATGAATATGCGCCTCCACGCTGTTGTTTTGCCTTCGACCTGTCGGAGCTTCTTCGATGGTTACATCAACTATAACAGTTCTTTCGTATTCGTCATTCAATCCAAGTTCGTTTTCTATATCAAAATCGACACGAGTCGCACCATCTATCTTGATCACTTTTCTTATCGGGTTTTGGAAAATAGGCTGGATTACTCCAGAGTAAATTGTTGGGTAGACGGTGATAGTAGCTTCGCCCGAAACTTTCTTACCATAGCTGTACCTGTTAAAATCATTTTCATTGTTTTATAAAATTATGGACACTATTTTTACAGGTCTAGTAATGCATTAAAGACTGAAGCGATGTCATGACAACTATTTTCAAACTCTTTGAATAAAAAGATTAAGGAAAGAGTGTAATGCTATCTCCCTGTCTTCATGCATGATAGACAGAATTGACATCATTCTTCGAATTTGATTTTAAATTTTGTGTATTTATCTTTTCTGAGCTAATTTTAGGTTATTTATTATTTTTGTTATTTTATGTTATTTTTTGTTATCCTACAATCTGTTTTGTTTAGTAGAAGGAAATTGTGTCAGAGCTTAATTAACAGTGACACTATTGACACTATGGATTTATCAAAAAAGACTGTAAAATAGTGGATTGTACAGCGTGCGGTAGATCTCGATCAAAAAGGTTCGAGGGAAACAATGGAATAACTTTTTCCCTGGTAAGTGCTAATATTTTCAGGGTTGGTAGATCTCGGTAAGGAAAAAATATATTTTCTATTTACCGTTTTTCAAGCAAGTTCAAAATAACCAAGTTATTAAAGTTTGAAAATTAAAAAAAATATATTTATTTTTAAAAAAATTTGAGATCCACCGGATTTTTTTCTGTATTTGCCGTTTTCCCTTTTAGTGCCTTAACCGTAGAGTAGAGCCGTAAAGCCGTTAATCATGGTAATATTAGAGAATAAGAAATTATACCGTGGGAAAATTTGCGGTGAAGAGGCAGGTCTAAAAAGTTTTCTAAAATATACAAGAAAATTTAAAAGAAAATGCACGAATTTCAACATTTTTTTGCGAAAAAATCTCATGGACGTGTTGAAATGAAAAATGATGTCGAAATACACCACTCCTAAAATATTACGAAACATTTATGAAATTTACTTAAATTTTACTAATTATATAGGTATTTGTTCTTGCATTTTCTTTAATATATTTACAACTTGTATTTGTTTCGTGATTAAAATAATTAAGATACGTCAATTTAACTTTAGTGCTCCAGTAGCGTATCCGATACGTATGCTATTAACTAATAACCATAACTTATCTATTTTATATTTTTATTATTTATCTTATCTCTACATTATCTTCGTTCGCAGATCAGTCAAAAATAGTTTACAATGGTCCGACGCATGCGCATGATGTTTAAGCGTTCGCAGAAGCAAAATTCGTTATTCCTAACCAGAAACCCAACGTCCAACGTGCGCAGAACAAAAATTTAGAGTTTCCAACTGATTTCTAATTGTCACAACAATCCGCGTGCCAGTAAGAAATTCTTAGTTTTAGTCATACCTTTGAGTCATACGCATTTTTGATTAAGAATTGACGCAGGAACAAAAACAAAAGATTTTTCTATCAATATAAATAAAACAATTAGATGTAGCAAAAATGTTTAATATTTATTAAAACATTTTATACCAGAACTTGGGGTGTTATATTCAAATTCTTCTATAATAGAAACAATTTTGTACGAGACTTCTTAATTTAGACTTAATCAAATTTAATAAGACAAGAATAAATTTATGACAACACTAGAAAATTATTTATTTTATTTACCATTCATTCCTTAATTCTTTCCTATTATTTATTAGTGGCAATTTAACAATATGTTTTTTTTTTGTATGGCGTAGTGACGTTACAGGTTATATGCGCAAACTGAAAGAAATTGGAGCCGCTATCGATCAAACCTTCTTTTCTTTATATCATGCATTCAATTCATAAAATAAATAAGTAGTAACAAAGAATATCTTAATAAAATTATAATATTCTTTGGTAGTAATCAATGACTAAAGAATTCAAGGATAAATAACACCCGAGAGCAAATTGTTACATGTCACCAAACAGTGCCGTGGCACATATTTTTCTTAACTTAGCTGTTTGAAGAGATATTTATGTTTTTTTGATAATTGTTTTGACTAAGCCTATGGTGTATACGGCGGTATCATACTAATTAATTATGAAAAAAACGTATTAAAATGTTAACAAAAGGTACAAAACTAGTATCGACGTATAGCACACACCAACTACATATAATATCAGAAAAATAATTATCGAATTCAATAAAAAAACTAAGAAAACGCTAAAAAGGTGGAGCGGACTGTTTATTTGCCTATGAAACGTAACTCCTGGCTCTTTCTTATCGCTGCTGCTTTTACACTTGAAAGCTGAACAACTAATCGCCATGGTAATAAAGTTTATACAAAGTATACTATACACAAACTATTAAAAACCGCTAAAATTGTCGCTGATGACCAGCTGATGGCTCATTCGTCGCCATCAAACAAATGGCGTCTAATGTCACAAATTCTGCTGCAGCCCGTATATGGGTGTTACATGTCCTTATATTCTTTAGTCATTGTAGTAAACTAAACTATCAAAGGTTAATTATCATGATTGTCGCGTCATTCACGGTCTTACTCGTTAACATTTAATTTTGATTGATCGTTCGCAGAACTCTAATCCATAACCCGGTTTAAAACCAGTTGGAAACCAACGATCAGTAGAAACCAATTGACAACCGGTCGGATATCTTGTGCGAAGAAAGCTATTGTTGTTATGGACACTTTCCAATCTAAATTTGTTTCATTTATCTATGAGTATATTGTGATGAAATTGGATAATTTGTCTAATTTTCTAGATATTTTTTTTATATTTACCTTGTATCTATAGCAACAGGCAATATTTTTTCCCTGAACGTAACGTGCTTGGGAACGTCAATGTCGACAATGAACTTGGGCAGGATATATTCGGCAACTTCGACGGATTTACTGTAAGTTTGTCCATGGATTGTGACCGATATATTCCAGTTTCCCAGAACTGGACTTTCGCTGAGTTTTATCTCGTCCGAAAATACACCTTTGGTCGCTTCAATATCTCTCCATTCCTTTACCCTGTTGCCTTTTCCATCCTAATAAAATAATAACAAAAAGAGTTAAAGAATGCGTCTTTGTGCCACGTTTCTTTCACTGGCCCTAGCTCACCTCAATATGAATATGGAGTAGCTCATTTCGTACTTCAGCTGCTGGTTTCAGAGCTGGGTTAAGAGCAATTACTCTAAACATAATAGTCGAACCGGGTTGATAAACACTTCGATCCGTTTGTATAAAGATGGAGTAACTCTTTTCCACGAATTCCAGTGGAAAGTCAGCTTCAAATGGTAATCCGCTGGCTCCAGAAACGTGTAGTTTGTAATCGCCATCTCTTATATCGCCAACCTATAAAATAAATTAATAAGATTAGAAACAAGGTTTAGTTTTATTTTCTCAGAAGTTTTCATTGTTGACAAGCGTCTCTTCGTCTCAGAAATTTAAACCATACAAAATGTTAAATCAGGTTATTTGAAGAGTCCAGGGGAATAACTTGATAAGCGCCAATTTCTTAATTTTAAGATTGTATAATATTATAGTAAGTATAGCTGCTCCCTACAAAATGTATAAACTCTGGAGGGCTATATAAATTGTTAAATCTTATGACACGGAAAGAACCTGATAACCGCCAGCTGTCCAGTGCTCTCCTGTAAAATTAGTAAAATTGCGCCTATCATGTTTTTCGGACTGTTTTCATAACGTCCTTATCTTATAATACCCTTGACCCTATAACATCTACGGCAACAATTGAAGTAGAATAGAGAAAAACGAGCAATAATCCAGATTTTGTCTAGAGATGCATGATGACCGTTCTAGTATAAGTAGGAGACGATTGAACGGCATGTTTACTGCACCGTGGGTGTTATGGTATGGGATGCCAATGCTTATAGCATCAGTCACGATTAGTATTCATTCAAAGTGGCATGACCGCTCAGTGATACATCAACGGGGTGCTACGGCCACATTTTTTTGCTTCCTTTTTTGTTAACATTCAGAAATCCAGTTTTTCAACAGGATAATGCACTAGCACATGTGGCCCGCGTAATTTTAGACTTTTTTGAAGTGTCTCGTATAAATGTTCTTATATGTGGCGAAATACCCATTGAAATTTTTTTGAAGAAAAAAACTCAATACTTTTTAAAAATATATCGTAAAAATTACGTATAAAACTTAACGTAGAAAATGGAGTTAGCAGGTTAACACGCTTCCACTGACAATATGTAAAACAGGCCATAATATACAAGAAGACTAGCCCATATGTAAATGGTCTGAAGATATTAGTCCATATGTGTAAGGAGTTCGTCGTTCCACAAACGAGCTGAGCAATTTGTAAAAAGATTAAAAGATCTATCTTTAACTGGACCATATATGACTGTGATATTTAAATAAAAACAGAGTGTGTTTATTTGATTTATTTGTACAATTTAAACTATTATGGCATGTTACATATTACATTTTATATTCGATAAACACATTTCTTCGATTGACATTTTGTCTTATAATAACATTTTTTAAATCCTTGACCATGTAGGTTAGATTGATCTATAGCCACCAATCTAAGAGGCAGTTCCTCGTCTTTAGAGACTTCTTCAATTGTCGAAATGACAAGACATGTAGGTATTGAATTCTGAACGACAATAGTATTTTGAAATTACTCCTTGTTTCGTACCCAAGCGGTAAAGGCATCTGCTGTAGCTCCTAGCACTACTGCTAAAACTGACCTAGCATCTCCTTGACCACGACTGATGTCCGGAACGGGAATTTTTACAGTTAATTCAATCTCCGATTTTGGATGAGTGCTATCTGAAATTACTTTCATTCGTTTTGCCTGCACCTCTAATCCATCAAGGGCGCCCTTTCTGACATTTGCTTTGTTAGTCTCTCTATTGCAACAGTTGCAAATATTTTCCGAAGATGCATTTTCAACATTTAAAGCTTCATAATTTGTAGGATTGAAACAAATGCTACACATTGCATATGAGATTTTTTGACAATAATCATTATCTTCACTCAGTTCCGATTTCAGTGATTGCGATTGTTCATGTTCGGTATGTGCGTTGTCAGTGTCAATTAGTTGAACTACTTCCTCTAAATCTTTTTCAGTTTTTACACTGTCCATCGCTGATTGCTGCGATTCTAATTGGCCGGTTTGCGAATTGTCAATACAACTAAATGTAACTATGTTTTCCAAATGTTCTTCAGTTGTAACATCATCTATGGCTTCTAACGGAACATTTGAAGTTTTCAATCCAATTTTTGGTTTGCGCCCGAACATGGCTTCATACGGAGACCTTTTTATTCCAGAATGCAGAGCAGAATTCTTCATAAATTGTACGAATCTTAGACCTTGACTCCAATGCTCCGTTTCATTTTGCAACATCCAGGTAGTTAGCATGTTCTCCACATCTTGATTGGCGCACTCGAGGCTGTCCTGACTCTGGCGTGGTTCTCCATGTACCATCTTTAATTCGGGCCACAATTTTTTTAATTCTTCAATAATCTTACTGCAAAAATCGCGGCCATTGTCAGATTGTAAAACCACAGGGGCTCCGAACATGGTAAAAACATCTAAAAGTTGGTAAGCGACTTCTTCTGAGCGTTTAGTTTCAAGTGGCCGCAAAATAACAAACTTTGTCAAGTGATCCTGATATACAAGAACATATCTGTATTTGCCATCAGCATGAGATTGATAATCTATCAAATCAACTTGACAGCGTGAATTCCAATCGTTGAAAATCGTCGGTTTTGACACTATTCCCTTCTTTTGTCTTTTCTGCTTCGTTTGACATGACACGCACAGGTTAATAAACAATAAAACTTCAGTACGTACTATGTTCTTGTACTTTTCTTTAGTTTTTTTCATCATTCGATCTCTACCTCCATGACCTATAAGTGAAGAAAGTGACCTTATCAATATTCCGTATTTCCACAAAACGAAATAGCTAAATAATATATTTTAAGATATTTTTAGTTGTCAATTTTAAATTGTAAAAAAGTTAGAGCAATTTGAAGCTGAAAACCAAAAATACTTTTGCTGTACTTTTTGAGGAGCAGTTTATGAACCCTTAACGGCTACAGAGTTGTCTGTCAGACACCTCGCGCTAAACATTCCTCTATATTTCGTAAGCGCCTGCAATAATAATTGTAGTAATCAGGATGCATATACCTGCAAGCCAATAAGGCTTTCGATAAGTAAAAAATGAATAAACTCATTAGTGTGATATAGTAGAAATTCAAGAGGTCTCTACCTCTAGTCTACCGGACTACTGTGTAGCGATTGTGTAAGTATGTTTTCATTAATTTTTGAATAGTGTATGGTTTTTGTTATTTATTTGTTTGTTTTATTATAAACGTATAGTCAAATTAAGTTAGGTATGTACTAATTTACCATAAATACATAGTAGAACATTTGTATTGATGGCCAATGACAATTTTTTCCAAATGGTTGACGTTAGCACGATAAATGCATATATTATTCTACACCAAAGCATTACAAATTCGATTTTCTTAAACATCTAGCCAAAGCTATTGATACAAATCTAATGAAAAAAAGGTTGCTCAACCAAAAAAATACCCAGAAAACTATGACTTAGGGTGAATATTGAAAAATACAATAGAATGCGAAACAACAGCTGAAGGGGAGTGACTCAAAAAGAGAAGTCTGCTCTAATATGTTTTGTATAATGTTTTGTATTATCTTTTTTCGTTTGTTTATTTGTATACCTTGTTTGTTTACTTTGTTTGTTTAGTTTACCTTTGTCTGCAAATTGTAAAATGTTTTGACAATAAAGACATTTATTTATTTATTTATTTATATTTATGTGCTCTTACAAAATAAAAATAAACATCGAGTATCTCTGTACAGTTTAAAAAAAATATTTATCTACAGTGACCAAGAAAAATATGTTTAAATTTCTGCAAGTATAATAGTACGTGTAAATATTTTTTTTTATGTTTACCACGTATTTTTTTAAATAATGTTTGATTGCTGATTCAGAATCGTTTCTATTATGTATACCGGCTGCGTCTTCAAAGTGGCTCACCTCTATAACTTTTTTATTTTTTCAGATAAAAAACGAGGTTTGGTATGTATGTATATGACATAAGTTAGGATTGATTGAAGTATTCAATTGTTTTCGGTCACTTCCTGTTTCACCGAAAATTACTCCATCTTTTGATTTTTAAATGACATCCTCGGTATTTTGTTACTTTATTCGATAGAAGATGACATTCTGAAGAGAATGACATATCATATGTCAACTTTTGACATATTCGAGTATGGTTTTAATGGTTTATTTGAAATTACTCTAGATTGAAATTTAAAATACAATTTTGTTTTAAGCGAAAATGTCCTAAGTAGACATATGATATGTCACTCTATTCAGAGTGCCATTTTCTATCGAACGAAGTAAAAAAATACCAAGGGTGTCATTTAAAAATCAAAAGTTGTAGTCATTTCCGGTGAAACAGGAGGTGACTAATTTCAATTCAATCAGACCGCTGTAGTAAAATATAACAACTGAACCAGCAAACATACAAAAAGGTGTCCGCCAGGGTTGCATTTTATCACCAATGTTATTTAATTTATACTCCGAACGTATTTTTGAAGAGGCAATAAAAGAACCGAGTGATGGGATTAAGATCAACGGTGACTAACACTTAACAACCTAAGATATGCTGATGATACCGCGGTACTAGCAGATAGTCCAGAAGCCTTGCAACGCTTGGTAAATCAACTCACTGCAGCCGGAGATCGTTACGGCCTTAAAATAAATGCCACTAAAACAAAAATGCTTATAATATCAAAAATCTCAGAGCCGCCCATAGATATTAGTATATATGGGAAACGAATAGAAGTGGTAGAAAAATTCAAATATTTTGGGACCTAGATTTGCAACAACCTAGATCCAGAAATAGAAATTAGATTCAGAATCGAGCAACCAAGAGCTACTTTTAACATGATGCGGCCATTACTGTGTAATGTCACCCTAAGTCTGAGTCTTAGATACCGGTTTGTGAAGTGCTATGTACACCAGGTTTTCTGTATGGCTGTGAATCATGCACTCTAAAGGTTAACACTATTAACAGAATAGAAGCCCTTAAGATGTGGATTCTTCCTAGACTTCTCAAAATACCTTGGACGGCACAATTGCTGATGCGAGCCCAGTGCGAAATAGAATTAGTGCACATAGCCAAGAAACGGAAGACAGTCTATCTGGGTCATATAATGCGTGGAAGTAGATATGAGCTGTTAAAATTAATAATAGATGGAAAAATTGAGGGCAAGAGGGGTATAGGTAAAAAGAAACATTCATGGTTGAAAAACATCAGAGATTGGACGGGTATGGATGCACACTCGTTATTTCGAGCTGCCCAAGATCGTCAGAAGTTCGCCGAGATTGTTGCCAACCTTCAATGAACAATGAAGACGGCACTCTGAGAAGACGAATCCTAATTTATGTCATATACTGATATACCAAATCTCGTTTTTTTATCTGAAAAAACAAAAAAGTTATAGTTGGTTATAGCGGTGAGCCACTTTTGAGACGCACCTGGTATATATTTAATTAACTCATGTATACTCATAAAAGTATAGAGAGATACAAAAAAATATGTTATGCTTTTTAAATTATATAATTTAATACTAACTTAATAGTGTCTACCAGACCACTCTGTAGCGATTAAAGGAAAATTATTCAATGTGGCCGCTAAGGGTTACATACCTGTAGATGTGTGTACCTCTTGAAGAATATCAAATAACTCATCGTCATGGACGTAATATATTACATCAACCGATTCATTATTAAGAGGCACTATAAGTTTTTCCATACCCTGAACCAATAATACGTCATAGTGTTTTAGAAGCCAGTGCATTCTTGGACTTTTTCTTTCGGCAACTTTGGCATTTTTTACTTCCTCAATAAGAGCACAGTACTTTTCCATCGGTAAACCACGGTTATTGTCGGCAACGTCTTTCCTTCGCTCATACAGATGTTCATAAAACCTAAATATATTTATTTGAGGTTATGTTGCAAGCCTCTACGTGAATTTACCTTTGTTTTTGTATTTCCATTCTTTAAATATATCGTATTTAACAATAAAAACACTCAAATATTAATAAATATCACTTTTGCACTTATTTTGTTACCTACTAAGTACTGTATAAATTACGACAAAAAGGGGAAAAATATAAATATCATCCGAGATCTGCCGCGGCTGAACATACGATCTAAATCGCAATGTTCTATACATTAACGCTCTCTGACGGTACAGTCCTTATATAAAATACCGTGCCATCTATATACAGTCTGTGCAGTTAAGTCCATATAGATCCGACCTAGACTATACCGGGTGCGTCTCAAAAGTATCCCCTCATAAGTTTTTATTTTTTCAGATAAAAAAACGAGATTTGGTATATCAGTATATGTACATAATAAATTAGGATTGATTGACGTATTCAATATTGTTTTTGGCTACTTCTTGTTTCACCGGAAACTACTACTTTTGATTTTTAACTAATATTGACACTATGAATAGAATGACATATTATATGTCAACTTTTGACATTTTTGCTTAAAAAAATTATATTTTAAATTTCAATCTAGAGTGCCATGGTTGTGTTAAAAACACTAACTTTTATTCAAGGAGCCTTGGAAAAATAGAATTGATCGTCTAATGTTTTTCGTGTCTTGTACTGGCCTGGTTAAAAGATGCCCAAATCTTATTTTTAATCATACCTCAATTTTTTTAAATGGAACGAGGGTGTCTCATTATCATATTTCGAAAAATCATTTTTAGGAATAATTTGGTACCGCACACTTCGTATTTCAAGTTAAATTATCGTTATAAACCGCTTGTTACAATTTCAAATAAACTATAATATGAGAAAATGTCAAAAGTTGACATATGATATGTCATTCTATTCAGAGTGTCATTTTCTATCGAATGAAATAAATAATATCGATGCCGATGGTGCTATTTAAAAATCAAAAGTTCAAAATAGTCCGTTTCACCGTTTTTTTTTATGAAACCAAAGATGCTCCACACAAATTTGTCCTAACCGTCTTGGTTTCGGCAATACAGAGCGAATTTGAAACTGTTTCATTTTTTGACCTCGTTTATATCTCGCTTATCTTATAACTTATATTATTATTATCTTATAACTTATCTTATAACTTATTATTATAAATCTTATCTTATAATATATTATTATAATAACTTATCTTATAACTTATTATTATAGATTTTATCTTATTATCTTATAACTTATTATTATAAAAGGTGAAAAAGGGTATCCCCCCCCTCTACATATACAGGGTGTTTCAAAACAAATGCGAAAAACTTCAGGGGGTGATTCCTTGTTCAAAATAAAGGGGAGTTTGCTTTATAAACGTTGGGTCAAAAGTCAACCATTAGGGAGATATCGCGGTACATAGATGGCGGAAAAATAATGTTATTATTTTTTATCTTGAAAACGAAAAGAGATAGACTAATGAAATTTTATGGAAGCATTACTGTTATGAAAACACACTTTTTGGTAATTTTTTCACTTTTTTAAAATGAGTGGAAGGGGTTGAAATAAACTACCCCTATCATTCTTGTTAACGAAATTTAAAGAAAAATCTTATCAAACACATGCAAAAAAATTAATTTGGATAGATTAATTTGTTTAGAAACTTTTTATCTCTTGTGTTTTTTGATAAAACTCACCGATTTGAAATTAAAAATAAAATGTAAATCTTTACATGTCAGGACAAAACACATTTTAGATTAAGAATCTTAGAAAGAAAATAACGATAATAATAATAATCTAGATAATAACGTATTGCGGTAGAGTAATGTCAAATAAAATAATATTAGAAACATCCTAAAAAGTAACAGCGGCCGACTAGATTTTTTCCTAAAAAAATTACAGCAGCCCACTAGATTCTTTATCAGAAAATGTTTTTTGTCCTGACATGTAATGCTTTACATCTTATTTTTTAATTTCAAATCGGTGAGTTTTTTGCATGTGTTTGATAAGATTTTTCTTTAAATTTTGTTAACAAGAATAATAGGGGTAGTTTATTTCAACCCCTTCCACTCATTTTAAAAAAGTGAAAAAATTACCAGAAAGTGTGTTTTCATAACAGTAATGCTTCCATAAAATTTCATTAGTCTATCTCTTTTCGTTTTCAAGATAAAAAATAAAAACATTATTTTTCCGCCATCTTTGTACCGCGATATCTCCCTAATGGTTGACTTTTGACACAACGTTTATGAAGCAAACTACCCTTTATTTTGAACAAGGAATCACCCCCTGAAGTTTTTCGCATTTGTTTTGAAACACCCTGTAAATGAAATTTGCTTAGAATAAGATACAGAATAATTCTATCGGTATTAGCTGGCTGGGAAAATAAGTACCGAAAATCAGTGCCTCCTGGACTAATAATATAGAAATAAAATAATGAGTAAGGAAGTAAAATGAAACAAGCTTCACACAAGAAATATTCACATAACGAAATAACAGTTCTCCTACATAGAAAATACTTATTAAATAATTCGCGTTTGTTTGATCTGTAATTAAGATAATGAGTTTTTAATTAAGTCGTTATATAAGAACAGACCTGAAACTAAACTGTCATAGATTTAATTTAAAGGTGCCATTATTATGCTTTGTAAAAATATACAAGGTGTCATTGAAATAGTGTAAAAAAATTCTCGGAGTAAGGAGAACCATATACCGGGTGCGCCTCAAAAGTGGCTCACGCCTATAACTTTTTTATTTTTACAGTTAAAAAAACGAGATTTGGTATGTTAGTATATGACATAAATTAGGATTGATTGACGTATTCAATTGTTTTCGGTCACTTCCTGTTTCACCGGAAATGACTACAACTTTTGATTTTTAAATGGCACCCTCGACATTCTATTACTTTATTCGATAGAAAATAACACTCTGAATAGAATGACATATCATATGTCACCTTTTGACATTTTCGCATATGGTTTATTTGAAATTATAACTTGCGGTTCGTAACGAAAATTTGCGACACTCGAAATACCAAGTGTGTGGTACCAAATTATTCGTAAAAAATACTTTTTCCAAATATGCTAATGAGCCATCCTCGTTCCATTTGAAAAAATTGAAATATGATTAAAAATACGATTTTGGCATTTTCTAACTGGCCAGGACAAGACCCTAAAATCATTAGACAAACAAATCTATTTTTCCAAGGCTCCTTGATTAAGAATTAGTGCTTTTAAGATAACCATGGCACTCTAGATTGAATTTTAAAATTCAATTTTGTTTTAGGCGAGTATGTCAAAAGTTGACATATGATATGTCATTCTATTCAGAATGTCATTTTCTATCGAATAAACTAAAAAAAAACCGTGAGTGATATTTAAAAATCAAAAGTTGTAGTCATTTCCGGTGAAACAGGAAGTGACCAAAAACAATTGAATACGTCAGTCAATCCTAATTTATGTCATATACTAACATACCAAATCTCGTTTTTTTATCCGAAGAAATAGAAAAGTTATAGGAGTAAGCCACTTTTGAGACGCACCCGGTATTAATACAGGATTTTGTTCTATAGAACCTGTGTTTTCTTTGATATATTTAATTGTCTGAATATGACTTTTGAAAGAGAAATAGAAAAATAGAGGGAAAGATATGTCAAATGTTTTAAACAAATCCAAAGATTACAAAAAAAATAATTGAATTTAAAATAATTTTCTTTGAACTCAAAGGATTATTTTCTTCAAAAAAAGTCCTAAAATTTTACTAAAAAAATACGATTTTTTAATAAAAACTATTATAAAACTAGCACAATAGATTTTTTTCTAAACCAAAGAACTTTAGGTTTAGTCTACAACTAGGAATAATTTACTGGCATACGCTGGATGACATTTTTTCTCAATTGTAACGGATCTTCCTATGCCAGAAACACTGCAACTTGCTGTGTTCTATGTCTGCATCCAATCCGCTATCCCTGTTTCCAGCAGCAGTTTGTGCAGGTCCTTGATAGGATTGCTTTCTTCGCTAGCTTGCGATCCAGAGCCTCAGAGTAACTGATGTTATGTGCTCTGCTATTTCAGAATCTTTATCGCAGAGTCTGCAGAAAAAATGCACACTGCTACTGCTCCTTGATACAGGTTCGGCTTGTTTTAGTAGTACTTGACATACATACGTCCTATCAAGAGTTGTACTCTGCACTTTATTCCTGCTTAGCATTAGCAGTTCCTTTGTAGCTCTAGACCTAGGTCCTCAGTTGAAAGTCTTGTTTTGCCTGTTTTCTTGTCTACGTCTCCAGCGGTCGGCTTGCTTCATCTTGATCCAGATTTTTTATTGCACTACCGGACATACATCTGACAAACATCTGTTTCCGAACATTCCATTCATGAAGTTTCCAAACAATTCTATGTAGGGTTTTGTCCTTTTTTGCGAATAGAGCAAGATAAATTATACCAATGTGCTTCTCATCTAATGAAGAAGAAGCTCTTCTTTTGCAGTAACAGAAGTTGAGAAGCGAAAAAGGTTTGAAATATATTTTTTTCTGAGAAAAATCGATGAATGAGAAAAATACATTCTGCTTTCAGAAAAAAAAAGGAAATGGGTCCATGATATTAATGATAAGCGAAGAACTTATGGCTAATTTCACACGTTAATCACCACTTTCGCTGTCGCACTGTCTCGCGGGAAGAATTGAACTGGATTTATAAACTCGACAGCTGAAGATCGGTTGAGGTTCAATTGACGTTCAAAATGTTCGAAGGTACGCATTTATAAAGTCAGTTGGTTGTTTCAAAAGTTTTGTTTTACGTTCATCAGGGGAGTTCAGTGATTGTCAATATTTTGTAAGTCGGCAGTTCGCGACGTTCGGCAGTTGGAACGACAGCCAATGAGTGCCTCTCAGTCACGTGAAGACGTGAAGCGCAGAAAAGGAATTCATTGGAAAATGATCCTTATTGTTGTTTCATTATTTATGTTTATACAGTATGTCCCCGGATTGTCTTTACAAGAGGAAAACCTTTTTATTATTGACATTTTGAGAAAAATGCATTCTTCATAAAAATGTTTGCTTGTTCTAAAATGGTTAATTCCGTTTATACTTTTTCAAATTTCCATACCGTTTTAGAGAAAATTAAGAAAAAATATAAAAATATGGTTGAATTTTCCTTGAAGGTCCTAAAAATCAAAAGGCGTTTCTATGGTAATACAAGTTCGATTTCGTTTTTTGCTAGATGGTTATTATTAATTTTGAGTAACGTCATATATTTATATGTCTGTTGTTAAAGTATCACATTTTCGGATAGCTATTATCGCCCTAGTACTGAACTAAATAAATGTTGTACTTCTTTAACATTTCAAAACAGTAAAAAATATGACGTTAATTAAAATTCTGTCAATAACAATCTATCAAAGGTTGGAAACGAAAGTATATTATCATGGAAACGCGTTTTGATTTTTAGAACCAGTTTAGAACTTGACAAGAACTTAGAATTCAACTACATTTTAATGTTTTTTTCATTGTTTTTCAACTACATTTTTCAAGTCTCTTTTAATTTTCTCTAAAACTGTATGGAAATTTGTAAACGTTTAAACGGGACTAACCATTTTAGAACAAGCAACAATTTTTTATGAAGAATGGGTTTTTCTCAAATTGTCAACAATAAAAAGTTTTCCTCTTGTAAAGACAATCCGGGCACATACTGTATAAGTTTATATTTTGCGCAATCTTAGATTATTTTCTTGGAACTTTGAAAAATATAAGTATTTTTAAATTGAAAGAACAACATTCGAAATTTTCACTATTCCTAACATAACCTACAACCGAAACTGACAGTTTATAAATGCAGAAATGTTGAACCTCAACTGCTGCTAATATCCAACTGCAGCTGAATATCAATCTCAACTGAATGCCAACTACCGAGTTTTTAAATCCAGCTTTGTGCTTGCAGCGTCAAGAAAATAATTCGCCGCAGTTCCGATTTTCATCAAGAGGCAGAACATTTCATCCAATTATTCCCAGGACGATACCTTTAGGCTCAAGTGTAAATGAGCATAAATCATAGAATATAGTTTCCTTTGACAAAGAATCATAATCCTTTGACAAAGAATCATAGGTATGACAGCAAAGTTATTGTATTGTTATTATCCTATTTCTACAGGTAATGCACATAGTATATTTAATTCCTATAATTTAGAGAAACATCTTCAATTCAAAGTTTTGAGAAAATGTAATATTAATTTTGACATTTACACTAAAAAGCACTAAAGCTTTATTCAGAACCTCGAAATTCGTGGAATAAATTAGTGGTTTCAATTAGCGTAGAAGTTTGTTCCTCTAAATTCAATTTACCTAAGCATTTAGAACGTCAAAATTAGTGGCGGTAAAGCTTCATTCAGAACCTCGAAATCAGTGGAATAAATTAGAAGTTTCAATTAACCGTAGAAGTTTGTTCACCTAATTTTAATGTAAGCATTCAGAACGTTATAATTAGTGGTAGTAATTTTCAATTATTGGAAAAAGTTAACAAACTTCTAAATTTTCCACTAATTATACTTCAAAATTTGCGAGGAATGTCATTTTGGCCTTTGATTATAATCACCCGTCAAAGAAAAATTTTGGTTAGAAATAAAAAATTTATTGTTTTATAAGCTAAGTATTATGCGTTCTCTATGGACACAACAGACTACCGCAAGCTGTTGCTAGGATATTTTATTAATTTTAATTGTGTTTTTCAGACATTGTGAATGATCGTAAACTCAAAAAATATAAAGTATAAAGTGTAACTGCAACCACTAATTGGGAGGTTCTGAATGAAGCGCAATTTTCAATTAGTGGAAAAAGTTATAAATCAACTTTTGCCACTAATTGTACTTAAAAATTTGCGAGTAATGTCAAATTTGGCCTTTGACTCTCATCAGTCAGAAAAAGTTTTAGTTAGAAATGTAAAGTTTATAGTTTTATAAGCTAATTATTAGGCTTTCTCTATGGATAAAACTGACTCCGCAATCTGTTGCTAGGATATTCTATTCCCTTTAATTATATTTTTTAGATATTGTGAATGATAAATAAATGATCGTAAATTCCTAAGTATAAAGTATAATTGAAACCACTAATTTATTATACTAATTTCGAGGTTCTGAATGAGGCTTAAAAATTCTTTTATTTAGTCACATTTTATTTATTTGGCCAAGACAATGAAAGATTAAATATTTTGACTCATATTTCAGTGGGTGGATAAATGATGTAATTGTTGTGACTATGAATGTTGAATTTCGAGTATTAAGCAGATTTATTTCGTCCAACAGCGCCTTCACATGCGACGGACCGTCCGCGACGGAGCGTCCGTGACCTTGAGTAAGTACCATCAGTTTATATTAACAATTTCACATGGGCGCGTATGCTCCGTCCGACGGAGTTTGTTCGACGGCTATCTTGAAAAAACACGACGGACGGTCCGTCGCGGACTGTCCGTCGCATGTGAAAACGCTGTAAAATAATAGGTACCAAAAAGTAATATAGAATGCTTCAAATTGTAATAGGAAAACTTCGACAGCGTATTTTGTAGATAAAAATAAGTTAAAATGTTCGTATTAATTCATGTTCTAGAATCTTTCGTTTCGGAGATACAGGGTGTAGAAGTTTCATTTTTATTTCGGTATTTTACCATTTTTATTTTCGTTTTTTAATAGACTTACACAAATCAGAAACAAATTGGACTTCGAATACGAAGACATCATCCATCATGATTTACTATCGTGAAATTTAGGAGACGTGACAAGAGTGTATACCGGGTGTGTCTCAAAATTGGCTCACCCCTATAATTTTTTTTATTTTTTTCTGATAAAAAACGAGATTTGGTATGTTAGTATATGCAATAAATTAGGATTTATTGATGTATTGAATTCTTTTCGGCCACTTCCTGTTTCACCGGAAATGACTACATATCTTGATTTTTAAATGACACCCTCGGTATTTTTTTAGATTATTCGATAGATGACACTCTGAATAAAATGACATATCATAATAATATGTCAACTTTTGAGATTTTCGCTTAAAACAAAATTGTATTTTAAATTTCAGTCTTACGTAACAACACAACATAACAGTTAAAAACACTCATTTTTAATTAAGGAGCCTTGGAAAAATAGATTTGATCGTCTACTGTTTTTAGTGTGTTGTCCTAGCCGGTTAAAATATTCCCAAATCGTATTTTTAATCATATCTCAAGTTTTTAAAATGGAACGAAAGTTTTTACGAAAAAATTATATTATATTATATATTAAAAGTTTTTACGAATAATTTAGTACCACACACTTGGTATTTCGAGTCAAATTGTCGTTATGAACCACATGTTGCAATTTCCAATAAACCATATTCGAATATGTCAAAAGTTGACATATGATATGTCATTCCATTCAGAGTTTCATTTTCTACCGAATAAAGTAATAGAATATCGAGGGTGCCATTTAAAAATCAAAAGTTGTAGCCATTTCCGGTAAAACAGGAAGTTACTGAAAACAATTGAATACAACAATCCTAATTTATGTCATATGCTAAAATACCAAATCTCGATAATTTATATGAAGAAATAAAAAAATTATAGGGGTGAGCCACTTTTGAGACACACACGGTATAGAAAATTAATTTAAAAAATATTTTTCATATCATTATGGGTCGGAATCTTTTCAGATTACCCTAGTAATTGAAACGAAAGGAAACTTTTATTTATTTGTTTTTTTTTCTCACTTCAACCGAAGTAATTAACTTACTATGTAATTAAAAGATCTTGCTATTGACATTCTTACCTCGAATCGGCATATGACACTGGAATAAGGCTGCACGACATCTTTATACCTCATCAGGAAAGGTAATCCTGTCAATGACTGACCCTGTAGAGTGGCCGTGATGGCTGTCGGACCTGAAGTGGCGTGAACGCTGACCGCGGCATGGTACTCGCTGTTGGGTCGGATGATACGGGGGCCAATAACGTTGTAGTACCTGCAAACAATTAATTCAATTAGGTATTAAAAGTTAACCATTTAGATACCTTATAAAATATATAGGGGGAATCCCAATTGTCATAAAAAAAGCTGTTAATAATAGGGGGAGCGCGGAATAAGAGTAGGAAACTTGCTTCCTGTTACCCTTATATAAAAACAAGGCTGTTACGTAGGCTCACCATACGTGAATCTTTTATAGGCTTAGTACATTTCAGTTGATTTTAAAAAATTCTGACCGCGGCGCTGTATACGGCAGAAATCAAAAATGTTTGCTATGTATTTCACGCCGTCCCGGTTACAGTTCATGTTGATCGGATTAATATAATATTGAAATCGCGGCTTTGTCATAATATTTAATATACAGGGTGGTCCGAACTGTATTCCGGAAACTTCGGCAGCATATTCTGCAGATAAAAATAAGTAAAAAAGTTCGTATAAATGTATGTCCTGAAATGCTTAGTTTCGGAGATACAGAGTGTAGAAATTTCATTTTTATTTCGATTTTTTCCAAATAATTTCTGAAGCAACGTCAATATTTGGATGAAAATTGGTGTCTGGGAGTTACTTGACATGATAAATTTGATTTTGGTGTCAATATTACTCCTATTGGTAGGGGGCGCCACGGACATGTGTTTTAACTGTTTTAAAGATTAATAACTTTTTGTCCGTACCTGTATAAAACTACTAAGTAAAAAAATATACATTTTCGCAACTTTTTACGTAAAAAATGTCTCTTGGTAAAAATCGCTATGAGTAACCGTTTTCAAGATATTTAGCATGGAAATAGTTAATACATATCATTATTGACAAAAGATAAAGATGTTGAATAGATAGTTATTTGACTGAAATAATAAATTTGGGAAATTTTTATTTTTCAAATTAATTATAAATTTTTCTGCCAAAAAATGATGATAAAACAGTTTCTGTTGAACTTTTAGCACAAAAACTTTTCAAATTTATGATTTCAGTCTAATAACTATTTAGTCAACATGTTTAATTTATGTCAATATTGATAGGTATTGATAATTTTGATTCCAAATATCTCGAGAACCATTACCCGTAGCGATTTTTACCAAGAGATTTTTTTTACGTAAAAAATGTCATAAGTGTATATTTATTTACTCAGTAGTTTTATACAGGTATGAACGAAAAGTTATTACTCTTCGTACCAGTTAAAAATCATGTAGGTGGCGCCCTCTACAAATAATAGTCCTATTGACATCAAAATCAAATTTCTCATGTCAAAAAACTCGCAGACACCAATTTTCATCCAAATATTGAGGTTACTTCAGAAATAATTTGGAAAAAATCGAAATAAAAATTAAACTTCTACACGTTGTATTTCCGAAAGTAAGCATTTTAGGACATAATTTATACGAACTTTTTTACTTATTTTTATCTGCAGAATATGCTGCCAAAGTTTCCAGAATACAATTCGGACCACCCTGTGTATTATTATTAATTTTTTATTTTAGTTTTTTGTTCGCAGTTATTCAGACTATAAAACACTCAGGTACGAGGTTTGTGTGATTTGGCCCAACACTCACACTTCGCCAGTTCGTCCCTTCGCTTCGTAGTGTAGTAACGAAGTAACAGTTTACACTAACCGATACTTTTGCCACTTTTAGTTTCAGTACTGAATCATTCTCTACCACATTCAAGGTAACCTTTAACAATGTACTGAAAGTAAATTTGTATTTTAGAGAAAGTTGTAGAATGTAGAATGTAGAATGAGTGAGAGTGGGTTAATCACTGCGACCTTAAATATCTATTGTGTTCCCCTTCCTTGAGTTATAACTCGTCATACAGTCTATAACCTATCATACCCCTGTTGTCGAGGGGACAGGGTATTTCCTATCCTCCTCTGAAAACAGATGTTCTTCCTCCGAGGGTACACAACCTTCCACGGTTGGAGTTTGAACCTCCGTGCAGTAGAGGAGCTTGCCTCCGGCTGAGGTACCCGTTAGGTGTAGGCTGGATCTATCTCCATTTTCTCCACCTCTTTAACTTGGTCTCTCCTTAGACCTGATACCGTATCCCGTTGTCCCGTATCTATAATAGAGGATATGTCCCTCTTTCTCTATTGCCTCCTTGGATTTGAGGTCAATTCCTATTGTGAGGACCTGACCACGCCCCTCCTCCATCGAGTTAATGACTCGCCAACTTCATGTCCGTACATTGAAGTTCTGACCCTGGATAAGGCTCCCATAGGTAGTGTCTTTTCCCTTGATCCTCGGTAGAAAGACTGTGATGGCCGTCCCTTTAGAGATGTTTTCTCCCTTCACTGCAACCAATTCCGGCCCTTGCCAATTTTTAAGCTTAAGTGCGATTTCCACCAACCAATTCACCGATTCTTGAGATACACAATCTATGAGGATCATGCCCACCCGAATGTGCATCCCCGCAAAATGCAGCTGACCCACATTTTCTAGATCGTTGTGTTGCCAGTATAGCCTCTTCTAGAGACGTTTGCTGGTCGGTGGTCAGAGCAACCTCTGGGAAATCCTTTGGCAGCACCGTCATTTTCACTTGTCCAGCAATAGCGGCAAAGCTGGTGGTACGTCCCTGCTTGCCTCCCGGTATTGGACGGCTTTCCATCCTGGCTTTTTTCTCTCTCTGCCGGAGAAAAGATGAGAGGTTGTCGCTCCCTTTCTTGCCATTTAATGGAGATGAATCAGGCTGTTTCTTGGTTTCTTTACTCTCCCCTTTTCGTAGGAGTCTTTTCGCTTTTGCTTCCTCTGGAGCAAGTCCTTCGTGGAGCAGTCGGACGTATCTCCATGCTTCTGCTCCGCTAAGACCTACTTTCAGAGAATCGTCTAGCCCGCCTGGTTGACCCAGGCCGGTTGGAAAATGTTACAATACAGCATAAAGATAATGAAAATACATATTTCTAAATATTTACGAAAATAATGATTTATTACTGTAAGCCAAAAAATTACATAAATTACGTTAGCTCTTGCTTTAAGGTGTAAATGAAAATATGGGACAGGTACTAGGGAAAACAAATACATATACTGTTTTTGTCCTGATACAACAGTCATGCGATAGTAACATTGAACACTACCATCTACTGATTCTATCTCAAAACAATTAATTCTAATAACGCAAACTGACTGCGCATTTTATTTAATTCATGTATAGGTTAGAATCATATATTTTCATTTAAAATTTTATATATAAAAATTTTCACCATTTTTGCTATCGTTTAAATCTCTTTAAAAGTCAAACTTTCTTTCTTGTTTCTTAGTTAATCTATAAATCATGGTAATATTTTTTTATAATTTATATGTATATATATTTTTGTACTTATAATTCTAAAAATATACATTACGTGGTGTAAGACCAATATAGTGTTACAAATATAATTATACACTGGCAATTACATATATTATTAATAATACGATTTGGTAAGAATTTCAGAAAGTTTAAATTAACCAGGTCAATTTCCTTAACCAATCTCACAAAATACTGGAAAAACAAGTTACATACATTAATATGTAATAAATTATATAAAATTAGCATTGGGGTATTGAATACCAATATTGAAATTTACTTAACTTATTAAAAATCGCAAAATTTTAACGGTTTTACAGATTCAATGTAAATAATAATATTATATGTTGTTATTACCACTATAGTATAAAAATAGAAAACGCATAAAAGTCTATACAGGATGCTGACCATTTCGATGCTCAACACTGGCATCTCACAAACTACGAGAGATACGAAATCGGTTAAATGGGACAAAAGTTGCGTAATAAGAAGTTTGACACACACCTACGAAGAAAACCCCGGTATCTTGATTAGTTCCGGATTTATGTCAAAAAAATGAAAATAATACGTTTATTATAAATGACAATATCTTCAAAACTATTGTATCTATTGCAACGTAAGTTGGTAGTTTTATATTTTTGACCTCGGCCAGGTAAATTTTGTTTTCAGAATATTTCTAAGCCTTCTAGATTTCGCACAACAAAAGTCAAGCTTTTGTTTTCTTATGGCCGCCATTTTGAATTTTTATACTATTAGAGCGAAAAAAAGTCTATACGGTGGTATCTCTATACTCAGGGGTGCAAGGGGTATTGAAGCGATACATATAGCCTAGCTTACCCAAAAGTCAACCTCACCTTCACGTGGTGCACCCTGTTTACACAAACGAGGCTCTGACGTCCGAGTATAGGCGGTATAACCTTATACAACCCTCAGACCTACCATCTTCTGGGGAAAAGGAGTAATAAAATACACCTAGCCGGCCGAGAACGTAGCACAAGGGAACTATCGTCGCAGTCCTCACTGTGCCATAGCCATCCCGTGCTACAGTTGCAGCCAAAACTGTGCGGCAGCGTAACCGCCACAGTTAAAACTTTTCACGCAGCTTACACACAGCAATGATGGAACATTTGAGTGGGACAAAATTATCGTCCGGAGGTAAAATACCCCCTCAATCGGATCTCCGGGAGGGGGTGCCTACTCGAGCGTATCATCGGAGAAACAAAAAACATCAATGTTTCACGTTCGCGGCGTGGAACGTCCGCACTCTACTGGACAAGATAAATTCAAATCGACCAGAGAGAAGAACAGCACTGGTCTCACAGGAACTCCACCGATTAAATATAGATGTTGCCGCTCTAAGCGAAACACGCTTTGCAGAAAGGTAGTCTCACTGAGGAGCATTACACCTTCTTTTGGAAAGGTCACCCCGCAACACACAGGAGAATTCATGGTGTAGGCATTGCGATCAAAAACGAAATCGCCACCAAGTTAACAGAAGTACCTATTGGTGTCTCCGAACGTCTTATGACCCTAAGGTACCCCATATCAGACAAAACTTACGTCAACAACATTAGTGCCTACGCTCCCACCCTTGACGCTAAAATTGAAGATAAGGATAAATTTTACCAAGCATTACAAAATGCCTTTCAACGAATTCCAAAGCACGAACGAATCATCTTGCTAGGTGACTTTAATGCCCGTGTAGGCAAACAACAGGAAATATGG